ACTATATCCCTTCTGGAATAGTTCTTGGCTTGGCTTGCTGTCCGTGCAAACCAAATGGCAGTATGGTTGCGGTACGGCAGCTTGGTACGTGCTAGCCTTCCTGTCGGGCACTGTCACGCACGTCAATCAAGCAGTAGTCAGAGCTATCATTGAACTATAAGCACCAGCGAGTCCCTATATGGACTTGGATTTGCAGCGGCTGTCAGCGCTTACTTGACATAGTACCATCGTACGCGTTTTGGGAATGCGACCTAGCATCTGCCGAAACTGGAGATCTCGTGAGGCCACCAACGTAGGGGCAACGCAAGTAGAATGCTGCGCCAATGTGCATGAAGCAGCCTCCACAATTGTGCAGTGCCCGACAGAATGGCGCGCAAGCGTGCAGGCACCATGACTTTCGATTACTCCTTTGGGTCATCTGTCGACCAATCCCCAGAACCGCGGCCTTTGGCTTGTTTCAGGATCTTGCAGGCCAGCTGCATATGTGAGCTTTATCGCCCATGAGTGGTTCTGGCGCTCCGTTCGATGCAAGCAGTTGGGCAGCACCCCGCCCATGGCGCAGCTCGGCGGAACGACCGACCACTGCCGGTCTGGAGGATGTCCCCACTGCCCTGTTGATGGAACGTATCTTGCAGTCAATAGGCTGATGAAAAGTGCATACGGCCCTGAGCGAGAGGCCACTATGCAAGCTGACAGTCCGGTAGACCGAGGCTCACACATGAGCCTATTCTTTGTCTTGCAGCAACGTGACGTTTCTGGTGTTTGCTTTGCCAGGAACCTACATAGTAGAATGCAATACTAGCTCGGTGCTCCTCCCCTCTCAATACTCCTTGCCCAAGTCTGCAGGTGACATACTGCCATCCAGGTCAGGTTATGGTTTGGAGGGCTTCTACCAGATATCACATGGATACCTGCAGCTGGGCAATAGTTGGCAACTTGACGGAATATGGTCCAATAGCTTATGCGACGAGAAGATGAAAACCTCGTCGACAAAAATGAGGAGCGCCTATCTACCACTTAGGTGCAGCTGTCAACCGCTCACAGGGCGCATTCTCTCTAAAGTGCATGCATACCTAGTCACACACGGCGCCTGCGGACTACTGCCTCTCGGCATGAGCGCAGGTGCAAAAACGGGTGACCGAGCGTCCGGCAGAGGGTGTGGTTGGTTTATAGTTGATCTATGGCACTGTTGTTTCTTTTTCGCCCGGCAAACATGGCTGCGCTACCGAGGCCGCATGAGGCCGCCGTGTAAGATGTCTTGGATCGAAGCGGCCATTCCCAGTGGCCGCTTGGATAGAGGACAGACGTCAGAGACACTGCTATGGGGCCAACCGCCAGGCTGCATCAATGGCCGGCACTGCCACTGGTTGTATGCATGCGTGCATGCTCTGGCGGGGTGCGTCAAACTCTCTGTTGCCAATGGCAGCTTTAAATACAGGTGACGATGCTGACGGCGACACCAGGCTACAATGAAAGGCTTTGGTTTGTACCTTTTGACATAGGTACATGTTCGAGTTGCCAGCGCTTTTGGTCCTGCTCGCTCTAGATCATGTGTGTTTGAGACTATAGTAGTTGCTCCATTGTGTCTTGATACTAGATCAGTCAGTCCTTCACACCTTGTAAGGCGTATTACGTTGCTTGCACGGCTGATGCCTTCGGTAAATGTGACAAATCGCACACGAGATGGGCCTTGCTTTCCCTCTTGAATCCGAGTATGACGGTCGATTTGGGATAGAAGCTACAAAAAAAAAATTTGGGGAAGAAACATCTTGTCTTTCAAGCTGTTCGTACGACTTGATGGCGAATTTATGGCCGAAATTTCTGACGCTGGGCGGTCGATGGATCCAATATTCTATACGACAATAGTCCCATTCGTATAAGTACTTATTGCCTGTGGTTGATGCTTCATAAGTTATATGCGGCCTCGAGAATCCGACGAGCCTGCCGGATAGGAAGCTTCGCCCATAGTCATGATAGTTTTCCGATACAGATTGCCTGTCTGACGACGTGATTTCTAACAGATCCCACCAGTATACCTGATGATCCGGACATGTGAGCTGTCAAAGTCTAGACAAGCCGCCTTGCCGGATCAACTGCTTGCTTTTCTGCTGTGTCCCCAGCCGGTTGGGACCTTATGTCCGATTTGATGCATGGCGTACGCTTAAAGGGTCTACATTTGTGATCCGATAATACTGCGGGTCTATGCAGGCGCCATTCTCGGGTGTGAGATAAGTCAGAGGAAAGTTTCGGCTTCACGGTTCGTGATCTGAGTCAATGGGGCGAGATTAACTTCGGATGTTTGATAACACATATCCTGATCGCAGATCGTGTACCAGACAAGAAAAGGGGAGGCCAGAAGGAACCACGGCCACAGCTTTGTCTCGTCGAGGGTAACGGTCTTTTGTGGGTGATTTGTTCTATGTATCTCAGGGGTATGTTCTTTGCGTGATAGCTAGATCCATTGAGTATTGGGTCATCTCGCTCTCCCGAATGGTTGAACATTGGATATCAAGTATCCGGCTGTATCAGACCTGGGGTAAGTGGCCACATTATCCGACTGAGTGACTTAGATCTTCGCAGAACTTCCTGCTACTTCGAAAGGAGGTTGGATAGTCTTAAAAGCGTGTGGCAGTCCCAGTATCATCATTTGTTTCAAATCCTGGAGTGAAGGGACCTATGGTACACAGTACCTGACTTGATGCTCTTTCTAGTTCTCTCTCAGGCCAACAGGCTACATATGACTGCTTGTACAGGTGATACGAGATTATCGTGCTGTTCAGTGTTTTCTGCATGATAGAAGCAAAAGGTTGTTCTCATGGGTAAACGGCACTAAAGCTCCACACGAATGAAGTCGGTTTCCGTTCGCCTCGCAGAAACAATCTGCTTGATATTAATCACCCATATAGGCATTAGGCAGTCAACACTGTCAGATTTAGTAATATGGCAAAGCCTACGTTTTGGATCGTGCAACGAACCTCGGTGCTGCTGATCTGAAACTTGACACTTCCACCAGGTATGATTCCCTGGCCAAGCAAGGCTACCTATACACGGCTTTGTCCTTGGGAATCTGGATTTATAGGCCGACTATTTCCTAAGATGCTCGATAATGTAGCAGACAGAAATCATGCCGTTATGTCCTTACTGGAGAGTCATTTTGGTTTGTGATACAAGGACTCTGCCGGCGTTGACCGAGGAGCCCAAGCAGAAATGCTTGCGTCATACAGATCCTCGGACCAAAACCCAGTGCCATTCAAACGAGAGACCGATGCTAAGTTTTGTAGCTTCGATAACCAGGCAAAGTGCTCTTCCCAATGTATGTGAAAGAACAAGTAAAGCCAACGCGACACCTCTCGTTAGCAATATTGTATCGCAATTACATCCACTAATCTGGACATGTTTTCAGTGAGTGTCCATATATGATCCAGGACCGAAATGGCTCAGATTGTGATTATGAATGTTCCAGCAATCCATCATTGATGCACAAGGTGCCCTAACGCAAGCTCATTTCGTCTCTGCAATGTCAAAGTGCCATATCCCGAGAAAGGCCGACCTTTGAGGCGCGTATGTAACGGTACCGCTCTTTGAGACAGCCTCAGACCTTGTTCATGAAAGAGGTGCGATCAAAACCTAGAAGACTCAGGGATGGCCTTAACGGCCAGGGCACACAGGGAAGACTGATAAGCTGGATGGTATATCTCTGATTGAAAACACATCGATTCTAGGAGGAATCCTTCAGGGCGAGACTTCGGTTAAGGGCAAACATAGATGCTCGCTCGGAGGATGAATAGGCGGTGCTGCACTTGTGGACAGTCATACGCATATATCTGCATCCAATTGAATTGAGCCTTCGCAACCGCATTTGTATGACAAGCCGAACTCCATAGCTGTGAAGTTGCATAGATGCTTCGCCCAGTTGCCACAAACAGAGATGCTCTGTGCGACATTCCCATAACATATAATCAGTACCTCGGGGATGTGATTTGATCAACACGTGAGCTAGTTTGGAGCCTCTCGAATGCAGCAGTGCTCATCCAATACTTCCCAAGAAGGAGCCTCGACTGCTGACGTTTTCTGAGGAAGGTGAAGCTTGACACGTTTGGTCTTTCCTTGTTGAATTAGCCTAGTTAAAGGGGGCTGCAACTTATTCCCTTGCTAAAGGGAGTCCAAGATATCAAGATTGTTCACCCACTGCGGGTCAGCACATTCCACGACATAGCTGCACTAAGCAAAGCTCTGGGCTGTCATCTTTTGGATAAAGATAAAGTGAGGGAGCACACTTTGGCTGACGATGACATCCACGACAGGCTTCTATAAAGCCTGGCTGCGGATACACAATGTATAAGTCGTGACATTGATATATCCGAATAATGCAATGTACAGTAGGCACCGATTCAGCCAGTCAACTAGCAAGCGTATATCTAATCGTGATGCGAACAGAAGTCTTGCGCACTCATATGTACCGAGAAGCACGAATTCAGACACGAATCGTACCAGGTGCTGGATAGATGCTATGCGTATAACATGTTAGATTATTGGGTAATGTTCGACATAAAGTTGACGCTCCTCCGTGACGTTTATAAAACCACAGGCACTTTGCGTGGACTGGTAAACCGATAATGTGCAGACAAGCTTTGATAAACGTGAGCTATGTTCACATGTCCAAGATCGCAATCGGATTGCGTGCCCCACTGGCGGAAGTGGCATAGAAGCATTTGGCTGGCTGGTGTACGGGACTCCAAGGCCTCTGCCGGCCCCCACCATCATGACGCGATCGCCTAAAATCCGCGGTCACACGCTACAGGAACAGAGTTTGGATTAAAACAACATCAAAACTTCTACGTGAAGCACCCCGAGTAGTTTTTGCGGGCTGCATAGGCTGATCTACGCCGAGGCCGGCCTCCACTCCGAGCCGGCACGTCCCCCTGGTTCATGCTTGTATGGCGTGATTGCAAGCCCCGGTTCAGTGATACTTACTGCGCTGAAGCTTTGGATACAAAATCATGTCTGATGAGAGAACGTCCAGTCCCAGAACACCCTCCCCGATTCTGAGGAAGGGGAGTTCGCAACAGAGACAAGATACTAGATCGCCGACGTTCGGTCCGCTTCCGCGGCGGCAGTCGACACAGGAGATCATAAATGAAATCTTGGAGGTTCGTTCTCGCACACTGTGGGCCAAGTGTCCCGTACCAAGCTTTTCGTGCCATGTGGTACACTCAATGGCCCAAGCATTGGTCAATTGCAGGACCAGAGGCACCCGGATCATAGCGTTAGAACCCAATTCATAAACTTGACTAACTCATGGTCTTTCGCAGACGGGGAGGGAACGCGCCGACACAATGGCGAGCGCGACTTGGGCATCGGGGCGCAGCCCAAATTTCCGACCGCTTCCTCAATCGCCGGAGCGTGAGGAGGGTCCAGATGAGACAACGGGGATCTTCATGAGAGGCAGCACCAGAGACTACCAGAGTACGCAGACGATATCGCAGTCTCCTGCGCGACAGTCACCCGCGAGAGCTTCACCTTCCCGGCAGCCAGCAGTCAATGGCAACGCGAGTCGGGAGGAAGCTCATGAGACCGAGGTTAAGAAGCACACGTGGAAGGACTTCTTCTCTAGCATCTGGTCTATAGAGCTGGAAAATAAAGGCAGTGTTGCGAGGGATCACCTGGCTCTAGGTAAGCTTCGAACAACTTGACGAGAATCTCTCTGCATCCCCAAACTAACCTGTGGGTCTGTAGAAAGGACATTCTTGGCTTGGCTGCGGACCTCTCTAGCATTCGCATCGATTGGCATCGCCATTACCCAACTGTTTCGTTTGAACACCTCTCTGTCTGACCAGCGAGATGATGCGAGATTTGAGACAATTCGACATCTGGGTAAGCCACTTGGTGCTTCGTTCCTTGGGATTTCGATCCTGGTGCTGTTTCTAGGGTATCAGAGGTATTTCCAGAGCCAACAATGGGTGATGAAGGGCAAATTTCCGGCATCGAGAGGGACAATCGTCTTGGTATCACTCATAGCATTTGCATTGATGGTTGTGTCGTTAATCGTCGTGGTTGTGATACAACCTGAAGGGTCGTCTTCTGATCCATGAGTCAGACTGGAAAGGAATATATTCTTATTAAATCGGCGTTAGTCGGAGCCTTGTAGCCAATGGACTTTTTCTGTGTCATGCGAATTTAGGATTCCGTCGTGTCTCGAATGTCGGCTTGGTTTTCTATGGGGGCTTGAGATCGGTGACATTTCCCCGCGATGCCCAATATTTAGCACCCAGCAGCAGCCTCAAATGGAGGCGGCCGATTTCCACTGTCCGGCGGCCAACGTCATTGTGTCACCCCACTGAACAAAATTGTTATAATTCTGCACATGGAAAACGCTGCAACCTTGGGCACACAGCCACCAGAGATTGTTTTATCTTTTACAGTATCGGCCAGTCGCGCAGTACGCTCAATCTCAGCTCGTGAGTTTGGGATCCAAAATGGTCGTGAAAGATCCCGTTGACGTCTCGGCATTCGCCAGCACCCAGCTTGCGCTGCTCGATGCCGAGCTGCAAAGCGAACTGCAAGAGACTAGCGGACTTATCTCGAACACGAGCCCAACAGCGCTGCAGCGAGCTGGACTAGCAATTACAAATTTGGTCATTTCGGCTCAGCGGACAGGATTAGGCGGCAAAACCGTACTGGAGCTGAGCCCTGACAGCGCCAACAGCAGCACCGGCGAGCTTCCAGAACACGGCATTCGGACGGGAGATATTATTCTCGTCTCCGAACAACCGGCAGGCAGTGCTAAGAAGAAGGAAATCAAGGATCTCGAGAAGAAGGGGGTACGGGGCGTTGTCACCAAGGTCAAGAAAGACTCCGTTTCCGTTGCTGCTGACGAGGAGAAAGAGGATGCCTCGATTACGGGGAGGGTGTGGCTTGTCAAGCTGGCTGATGATGTGACTTACCGTCGCATGAATCAGACCATGGAGAAACTACAAAAAATGACGGAATCAGATTACTCGATCTTTACACGAGTGCTGTTTGGTTTATCAACGCCCTCGTCCCTTCCAGCCGACATGAGCTCTGATCCCGAATATGGGAACATCGAATGGTTTGATCCGAGTCTCAACGACTCCCAGAAGGACGCCATCCGGTTCGCACTTGCATCGAAGGAGATTGCGTTGGTTCACGGCCCCCCAGGAGTATGTCAGGTTTTTTACTTTTATTTTTCGGGGTATATTCATGGTGGTATAACTAATCGTTTTTAGACCGGGAAGACACATACGCTCATAGAGCTAATCTTGCAGTTGGTGAGGCGGAATCAACGGGTGTTGGTTTGTGGTCCATCGAACATCTCCGTGGACAATATCGTGGAACGCCTGTCACCACATAAAGTTCCGATTCTTCGGCTTGGGCATCCAGCAAGACTCCTGCCGTCAGTTCTGAGTCACTCTCTTGATGTACTGACACAGACGTCCGAGGCTGGGCTAATCGTTAAGGACGTCCGGGCCGAGATGGATGCCAAACAAGCCTCCATCAAGAAGACCCGGAATGGCCGAGAACGAAAAGCCATCTATATGGACCTCAAGGAACTGCGGAAAGAGTACCGGGTAAGAGAAAGACAATGCGTCAACAATCTCGTTGCTGGGAGCAAAGTCGTGCTTGCTACGCTACATGGTGCTGGTGGTTTTCAACTTAAAAATGAGAGCTTTGACGTGGTCATTATAGACGAGGCCAGCCAAGCCTTGGAAGCACAATGTTGGGTACCACTGCTAGCGGCGAAGAAAGCCGTATGCGCCGGTGACCATCTACAGCTGCCACCGACCATAAAATCTACGAATTCAAAGGTGAAACCCAAGGTCAAAGAGGGCGGTGGTGTCATCAAGGGTATGTCCCTCGAGACAACCCTGTTCGACAGATTGTTATCACTTCATGGGCAATCCATCAAAAGAATGCTGACCACGCAATACCGTATGAACGAGAAGATCATGCGGTTCCCCTCGGATGAGCTGTATGAAGGGAAGTTGGTGGCAGCAGAACATGTGAAGGAACGTCTTCTCAAGGATCTGCCGTATGCGGTGCAAGACACGGAGGATACCAACGAGCCCGTAATCTTCATAGACACCCAAGGGGGTGATTTTCCGGAGAAGAATGAAGAGGACGACACCGGTAAAAAGTCGAGCATCAAGTCTCTCTTAGGTGACAGCAAGAGCAATGAGATGGAGGCGGCACTGGTTAAGCAGCACATCCGTGCTCTGGTTGATGCCGGTGTTAAGCCGGAAGACATCGCGGTTGTCACACCTTACAATGCACAGGTAAGCCACGCCCAGGCTATGACAAGCAACCATCACATCGGGAAATTATATGAGCTGACAGTATGCACATCATAGTTGAGCCTACTAGCTCCTCTGAAAGATGAGTTCCCGGGCATTGAACTTGGTAGTGTTGATGGGTTTCAAGGGCGGGAAAAGGAAGCCGTGATCGTTACTCTTGTGAGAAGTAACTCCGATGGCGAGGTGGGATTCTTGGGAGAGAAGCGGCGCCTAAACGGTAAGTCACTGGGGCCAACGTTGTCCCTCGAAGCGCCATTTTGTGGTTGCATGAGGTTAATGCAGGACCAACAGTTGCAATGACACGGCCGAAACGCTCACTGACGATAATTGGTGACTCGGACACCGTCAAGAAGTGAGTTATCACCCCTCTGGCCAGCTTGTCACATCATGTTCTATCTTTGGACGACGCGATGGTACCCTACAGAAGTCTCTCCAACCCCTCAAACGTTCTCAGTTGCGATGCGTTTCTAATGACTCTTACCCTGCAGAGGAAGTGAATTTCTCAAGAACTGGATCGAATGGTTGGAGGAGAACGCAGACCTCCGTTACCCTGACGCCTCGTCAATCGGGTAGTGAAGAAACTCAAGGTGGGGTCCAAGATATGCGGAATGGCAGAGACCTTGACCGGTGTGCAGTAGCTTTCATGCAACGCAACACTGCAATGATAAGTTCATCCTGTCTTTTGCATCCTACGAAATCGCCGTTACAGTGGCAGGCAGAAAGGCCGGATGCATCCGGTTTTATGCAAATGCTCGGAGGATTCCTGGTTAGCTAGTCGATAACGTCGCTGTTATTGCCAGGCATTGTGGAATATTCAGGCATGCACTTCGTAGATATCTGACTTCTACGGCTTGCATTGGAAAGAGACCAACCAGACCCTTGACTCTGGCCCAAACCTCCCAATTCAGCAGATACCAATCTTGCACCACTTCGCCTGTTCGGGTGCAAAGTTATCACCGGGGTCAACAGTAAGATTTGCGGACAACGATATCGCATCCGTCCATGGGTGGTGTTTCAGGTTGGTCCATTGTGGTGGGCGATTCTGGGGAGCGCAGAAAGGCTATTCCATCAACGGTATAACTTGGGCTAGCGGCCATGTGGCCAGCATGGCCAGCCAGGGTTCTCCTGTAGTTTTCTCTGATGGAGACTCCGATTGACCCGAGCACTTCGATAGCTTCCCACGAAACGTTTCTCGTAGCCAAGCGATCCGGCCTGACCCCTTGCTCGCTTCGCGTGCTGCAGGTTGCGAACTGCAACTAAACTAGCCAAGATGCGGGACTATCGCCAGTAACAACAACGAGAAGCACAGAGAGCTCGCTCGCTCGAGGCTTTCACCCTGGCGACAGCCAGTTGGAGCACTCGCTTGACCACGCCCCTTCCCATCTCGATGCGCATCGTGTTCTTATTCGTGGTCGAGTCATTGTCCTGCACGATGAGTGCACGCTGTTTAATGCAAGATTGCCTCGTCTTAACTGCAAGGCGCAAAAGCGCATAGGCAGCCTGGAACCGCCAACCACCAAGGATTAAGCTGACGCTACTTCTATAATAGCCGCATTATTGTGATTGCTTTACCATTTAGACGGTTGTATACTCATCTATGCATGGAGCTTGGCTGCCAGATATGACCCTGTGGCGGATGGATCAAGTTCAAGCGTCTGCTTTGCGAGCTCGGGCAATCTTTGTTCATGCAACCTCGATGCAGCAAGGCTATTCGCCTCAGCTTCGCGCCTTACAAAACAGGATGCCTAAGCTAAATCTATGCCATCATGCTCCAAGGCCGCACGCACTGAAGAATTTGACATTACATCACGAGTCAGAGGAGATCTTAATGCTCGACCCTGGCAATATGATTGACCTCCCGCACTGCTTGTAGATCAAACCGTCACGCTTCTCAGATTCCCGCCGGGGCTTTTGCTGGGACGGATGTCGTGACAGGTTTCAGACCGATCTCTGGGATGGCTGGGGTTTAGATCAGTAGCCAAGAGTCTCCCATACGGCTGACTTGCCGGTCTGGGCGTAGAGATGCGTGCGCTTTGATAGCTAGCTTAAGTAGCCAGACAGCGGGGACTTACACGTGTAAAACAGCTTCAGGAAGGTAGGCAGGACTAGTCACGAGTAACATCTTATACGAAACTGATTCTGCGGACCAATAGACCAACCACGTAACGTACTGGGGACTACCCAGAACCCTATCCGGTCCTTCGATTCTCCTTTCGTAACTACAGGATTTCCTCAAGTCGATTGTGAGTGCTGGCCCGAGAAAAAGGCACCCCCAGCGCTAGGACACGGAGCTATCCGTAAGCCCAAGTTAGGGGCCCACCCCGTCCACAGCGCCGGGAGAGCAGCACCCGACCTCAGCTTGGACTCTGGAACCCCAGAGCTCTGTGCAGTTGTCCCAAGGCAGAAGGACGACCGGCACGATGTCCTTGAAGGGTGCTCCTGGGTGCTCTCGCAATTAGCCACAAGTTTGTCTGCATAGTAGGTAAAGCAGGCCGAGCCGTACAGAAGCCCAAACTCTGGGTCCCGATATGCGCTGTCGCTCACGCCGATCTCAACGGTTGCTAATCACTCTAGCTTGGGACCACGCTGTGCTTTCCCAATTTAACGAGACGGGGGGCTCAAATCTCGGACTGATTGGTTCATCTGTGTACCTGTAGACAATGCGGCATTGAGGGAGCCGTTGGCGATCAGCCTTCCACCGCGGGGCGTATCACTTTGTCCGTCCGCGGGTGAGGCTAACCACGTCGCCTTTCGATGCCCGTAACATAGTATGTGCATGGCCCACTAACACCCGATGAGTGCCATCATCCGAAGTCCACGAGGCCTCGTTCAGCCAGCCGCAGCTGTGCATTGTTACACTTCGAAAGTAGAGTTGGGCCAAGACCCTTCAGAGTAGGGCGACGTGTGGGTGTCTTGTTAATTGGCATCGGCCCGTGCCCAGATTCTCTGGACAAATCCTGGTCTTTCCTTCGTTACTCGACAGCGTCTTGTTGTGTCCTGCTGTCTGCCCTGGGCACATCACTAAGCTCGTCCCTAGCCGACGTCGCTGTCTCCTCCTCGACTCCTGGTCGGAGCTGCTCGTGTTGTAACTCGCATCGCTTGGGTGGCGTTGTTTTTAGACATGATCCTGTAACAATTGTGCAGCTCTTGCAGACAATCTCAGCCAACACACAGACTCCCAAGATGTATGCAGCTGCAGCTACAGGGCAGAGCTCGCGCCCCTCCGCTCCACATGGGCCTCTTATGGACGAAAATGTCCCCCCACCACGCCATCGCTGGATACTAACGTCCATCAGACCCCTGGTCTCGGATATCAGAGGCGGCTCAGAGGGTCCCCGGACCCTGGTTCCTCGTCATCTGGCCTACCCCGGTCGCTTCGTCCCAAAACTCGTTGCTCCCTGGCTCCCTGTCTCCCTGACAAGCCTGATTTTCGACGCTGGCCGTAGACATTAATACCTCGGAAGTCGCCAACTGCTTGTTTCATGGGCTGCCCGTTCATGTCGGTGACATACAGCCTGCTTACAAGAGGGCTGACCTTCGTCGCAGAAGCTCGACGTGATACGTGATGCAGTGGCCAGGGTCCTCCATGCTCAACTTTCATAAGCTAGCTTGAAGCCATTACATTCCTAGTCCTCTTCTCGTCACTGGATGACCTAGGCCCTACTCGCCCTGTGCTTCTGAATTGTTCAGAGACAAGCCAATCTTTCGCGCTGCAACACTGGCCATGTATGAAAGACCACGTCGACCTCTCTTCATAACCCAGTGATAGGCGCAAACAGGGAACGAGTCTGTATTCCAAGCCAACCATTAGATGATGGATCATTGCTGGCGCCGTCTGCCATATCTTCAGCCACCTCCGCCCCCATCCCTTCGCGGGCCTCTGTAAGCCGCCGTGGTGCGTCTGTCTTCTCCGCTCGCTCTCACCATGAAGCCCGGCCTCTTCAAATCCGCCTCGAGCGCTGGACGCCCTAAAGCGGGCCAGTCCAATGTTCGCGGGAAACTTATATCTGGACCTATACCGATTCCTGATCCCGCTGAAGATGACGAGTTTCCTATGCGCCAACCTGGCACAGGACTTGCCACGCCGTTAGGCCACGAAGGCAGGAGCAAGATGTTGGTTACCCCCGAAGGCTCGTCCGCACTTGAGCCTACTATCGAGACGGGCGCAACACCTGACGTACCTGAGAGCGCGAACCCAGAGCCGAGGACCGGCCCAAGCCAGGCCTCAGAAACATCCGGCAGCCTAGCACAACGACGTGCCAATCGATCGAGCACGCTGAGGTATTCAACGATCAGCACAACTGATACGGATCAGAGTCGCAATTCGCCTCAGCGTAAAAAGTCGACACTACGAACCACACTAAGTCGACTTTTTGGACGAAAGAAGAAAAGGGGCAGCAATGAAGGATTGGAGACTCATCCAGAGCATCCCATGGGATCCCCCCAACATCGAAGTGTAAGTGGCTACCTTTGTAGATTGTCGAAAATCCCGCCGAAGCTAACTCCTTCCCAGGACCCATCCGCTATGAACCGGACATTTGCCAAAGAAGGCGAGCCAAAACGATCCGCATCGCTCCCAATCACGGAGTTTGATAGGGCATTACGTTCGCACTCTGTCGGTCCTGACGACATCATCGCAATCGAGAGCGCGCGTAATTCCTTGAACGGCGAGCCGCTAAGGTATCGGAGACGGGCTGCCACGATAAGCAGCAAGCTTTACGTCAGGAAAAGCAGGGACTTTGGTGACCTGTCTGGCCTCTCTCCAAGACCAGCTAGCGCCCATGGCAGAAGCAGTTCAGATGGCCTGGGACAAGACGATCCGGAGAACATTGGTAGGGCCATCACGAGCGATATCTTATGGCAACACAGACGATCAAGGAGTCTGTCGCAGCTGAAAGACGAGGGCACAACGAAACGCAAGCGCAGTGATGAGATACGATATTGGAGAGAAAGCTACGACCCGGGATTTCAATCACCAACCTCTTCTAATGTCAACGAGAATGAAGATACCGGCAACATTACGTTCGACCCTCCAGATGAGACATCAGTAGACGTCAAGCCAAAGACTCCGCCACAGCCGTTCAACTTTGGACCCATGGTCGGAATGAAGATCACTCAAGCAGCGAGTATCGAAGAGCGTATAGTGACACTGGAGACCCGGAACCAAAAGCTGGAGAAACTCGTGGCCCAGTTGTTCGAGCTTGTTGCTGGAGCGAACAACGACGCAGACATGCCTGAGCCAAACCCCCCTCCAATCCCCCAAGCTCCTTCTGTCGTCTATACCTCTTCTACAATGGCGAAACCAGCACTGTACCAGACAGCAACGAATGAGACATTGTCATCATCACGGTATAGCGTCTCTCGCCATTCCAACGAATCGTTTGGAGATGGACATACTTTCATCGGGTCTCTCCCAACGTCTACTAGACCCATGAACCGGCCCACGTCAACCGCTACGGTACGTGGTGCCACGAGTCTGCCCACTTTCCCGAGAGAAGGCTCGGAGTCTTTCAATGCTGATCAGTACACAACTCTCATGGCTCTCCTGGAGACCGAGCGTGCCGCGCGCCAAGTCCTTGAGGCGCAGGTCACAAAGTTGAGGCACGAAGTGAACTTGATGTCGCGTACCTCTCACAAGTTCGACGCGTTGCGTGGTCCATTCAACACTACATATTCTACATTCGAGCATGACGACGACGAAGATGATATCCAGGTGATAACTGGGGAGGAGGATTTGTCCGAGTCGGAGGCGTTCAAGACGCCTCGCGAGGAATACCCCCAGCATGGATTTGGCGCGTTCGGCGAGGAGCTGATCGACGAGGATGTCGACAGCTCCCGGAAAAAAGCCGCCAGAACGCTGTCTTTGAGCCAGCTCACGTTAGGAAAACCCAAGAAGCCTCAAACGGAAGCCGGAGTTCAGTTATGACTGCATGGACTGAGTTCACAGCATTCTTAGGCCCAAAGCCTTACGAGCGGATGTCATTATTTCATGACCATTTCCCTTCGCAACTTTTGATACCCCTGAAATTTGACCCCAGCACTTTCTGTCTGTTTGATAGCGGTCATCGATTACGTCAATTTGGACGACTGTATGATTATCTTCTTCATGCCGAGATGAGACTTGTCTTTCCCTTCTGGAAGAACGAGTAATGTAACATTCTTAGGACCTGTTGGTCCATAGAGTTACTCGGCCTACTTTCTGCATTGCACTATGCATCATTTCGTCGCAGCGGCAGATTAGCTTGCCTGGATTTCTTTCCTTCATTCGCTTTCTTATTTCTTTGTTTCGCTTAGCGTTTGCAGCGTCGTTGACTCGGCGAGTCAGAGTTTAGAACTGGATTTCGCTAGAATACTCAATGTATAATACTTAAAACCGCGAGGGCCGCTCAACAGTCAATACAAATACTGTACCAACTGTATCACGCTGATTGCTTGTGCCAACGTCAATTTCATGTACATATTATAAGGCAGTGCACCTTGTACATGACAGCGCCGTCAGTTTGCCACCTAGTTTCGTAGATACATGCAATGCGCAGTGGCGCCGACCACATAGTGAGAGGCATTTCAACCCAGCTCACCTACATTGCACTCAGAAGTCACGACGGACACCGCAGAAACTTGGAGTCCGGTGATCTCTCGGAAGTATGTACGTTGCGTAGGATCATGACGCTATTATAACCCGCTCGTATGCAGACTGGCTAGCATTGCATATCTTGCCTTATTCTCATTGGCCGGACTAGCTCGCATTGGGGATATGGTAGAGCTTGGCCTGCGGTGTTGATTGCAAACTCGATTATTCGACATCATTATTGACAGGGGTTTGCGCTCGAACGTGCATGCATGCCTGTTCTGCTCTATCTACCTATAATATTAATACGTCAACGCCTCGACCGGATTACGGCTTCGAGAACCACGACAGTCTTTGGCATCATTGGTGCGAGGTATACTAGCAACAAGCACATTGCAACATGAGACTCGAGTGCATTTTTCTTCAGGCCGTGTGGGCGACTGGCTCACTGGCTTCGTCTTATGCCACAGCTAAGGAGTTATTTGGCCGAGAGGATAGCTCGTCTGGGATACTCACATGCGAGGCCACGAACTGGCCGATAACTACACAAGGACGCCCAAATTTTCCCCAGGCGCCTTCGCAAATTCTGACATCGATTCTATCCCAGGTGGCCCCAGCCAACATCGAAGCGACTATACTCAAACTTGTCTCATTCGGGACTCGGCACACGCTCTCTACGCAGACCAGTCCCACTCGCGGAATCGGTGCAGCGAGGGACTGGATCGCATCCGAGTTTCGAAGGTACGCTAACGCGAGTGATGGGAGGCTTACTGTAGATGTGAAAAGCTACCTGCAGCAGCCCGATGGCAATCGGGTCCTCTTCCCGGTGAATATCAGTGACGTCGTGGCGACTCTTCACGGGACTGAGACGCCAGAGAGGCTGTACGTGGTTTCGGGCCACTATGACAGCCGCGTCTCCAACCCGAACAACTACGAATCCGATGCCCCTGGTGCGGATGATGATGCTTCTGGAGTCGCGATCTCACTGGAGCTGGCTCGTATCATGTCTCAGCCGAGCTTCCCGCGCCCTCGAGCAAGCATCGTCTTTGTTGCCGTGGCCGGTGAGGAGCAGGGTCTGCTAGGGGCCCAGTATCTGGCACAGACGTACGCCAATGCCACGCCGCGCGCCAATGTCGAGGGCATGTTCACGAATGACATCGTAGGATCCTCCAAGGCCGACGATGGGACATCGGACCCCTATACGATCAGGCTCTTCGCGCAGGGCCTACCGCCCTTGAACGTCGAAAACTCCGCCACGAGGGAGAGCCGGCTTACAATAGGGGGCGAGAACGACACGCCGGCGAGGAACCTCGCGCGGCTCGTCAAGGAGGTCGCCGAGAACGGCGCCACCGGCATGAACGTCTCGGTCATCTACCGGCTCGACCGCTACCTGCGCGGCGGCGACCACCGGCCCTTCCTCGAGGCCGGGTATCCGGCGAACCGGTTCACCGAGCCGAACGAGGACTATGCGCACCAGCACCAGGACGTCCGGGTCGAGGGCGGGAAGCAGTACGGCGACCTGCCCGAGTTCTGCGACTTTGACTTCATCGCACGCGTGGGCCGCGTCAACGGCGCGGCCCTGTGGAGCCTCGCGAACTCGCCTGGCGTGCCCAGGAACGTCCGTGTCAACTCGACGGCGCTCAGCAACGACAGCACCTTCTACTGGGACCCGCCGGCCGGCGGAGAGGGGGCCGTGGGGAGCTACGAGGTGGTCTGGAGGGCCACGGCCGCCCCCTTCTGGGACCATGCGCTTGATGTCGGGCTGGTCAACCAGGCTACGGTGGATCTCAGTAAGGATAATGTCGTCTTTGGGATCAGAGCCAAAAGCGTCGATGGAATGAGAGGCGTTGCGGTGCTCCCTTTTCCAATATCTTAAGATGGAAGGGAATATCAAACTTGTACTGTCCTCTGCGCAGCATCACGAGGACCACTCCACTCGTAGAGATATATGCCATCTTGAAGCTAATACACGTTCCGATGCCCTTATAATCCGGAAGGGCTGGAATCAATGACCGAAAGTGCGTGCCATGTTAGACAAATGCCCATCTGCTACTGGGAATATCAATGACCCTGATGGATGACGCAATTGGAGCCAGGGAAGTCATCGCGGCATAAAGCCGATCCCCCTTTCCAGAATTAACTTTCCAACAAGCGTGCTTCAATCCAACAGAGTCCGGCGTGATGATCTCTCACCATACGCGACAATAAAAAGCCTGACACTCTGGAAATAGATTGGTTCTATTCGTCATCGAGGTGCACCTCTGAGAAACGCTGGTTAAACTTGGCATGTCGTAGAAGTTGACGGTGCCACGCTCATGCAGGTATTCGTAGGATCGTGCGCTTAAAATACTTCAAGTGCAACGTCAACGAGCTGAGGTCTGATAATGCGGTTAAATATTTCTTACCACCCTCGACGCAATGTGACTGCGTGCTTATGGGGTGAGCAATAGTTAAAGCAGGTACATGCAGAATGCCTGCAAGTTGTCAGGTACTTGACGGCCGAAAGAGCGGAGCTGTTGCCTGTCTGCCAGTTCGTGGCACGGCAACATGTGGGGCCGTTCTTAGTCGCTGCTGGTCTAAATCCGGCGGCCAAACACCGTGCCTGCTGCTTTCCGTTCACGTTATGATCGTATACTTTGCGCCGGAAACACGGAACAGGCCTCTAATCCACTGGTGGACGACCACTTGCTCCGATATGCCACGTCCGTCTCCAGGAATTTTTGGAAGATCGTCTTACTTTCCATTTATAGCACCCCGTCTCGCGTGACCAATCCTGCACACAGGTCACCACTTATCTGCCGATCTGCAGAGCTGGTCCCAATGTGCACTATAGATGGCTGATACACAGGACGTGGAGATCCTGGTTCACATTGCGGCTCCTAGTACCGCTCTGGATGATGCCAGGTACAGATCACTGGCGTCGGCATATGTAAACTTCTCTCCTCACAAGCGCCGCAAACTGACCGAGCCGGTCACTGGTGACCCGAACCATGAGCCAAGTAGCCCGGTCCCGGTCTCCGAGGACGTGAGGACTTCCGGCGATAGCCGTCCCGAGGGACCGCAGGGTACTCAAGTCTCTGTTGGACCGTTGCCGTCGTTGAGATCACCGCTGGCCTCCTTTAGGAGCGTGCTCGACAACGCGGACTCACCGCTTCGGATTGGCAAGGAAAAGTTTAATACGACAAATGCTCCGAGATTCGCGAGCCAGGGCGTCGCAACATCTCAATCATCATGGAAGACTCCGCCCAGCGTGGTACAAGACTCTGTACCAGACAATGATGCCACAGCGGCCATGCTTACAACCCCAACACGGGTACTGGAGCACTATCTGCAGAACTTCCATAGCCCTTCGCAGGCATCATTGGCAACATCGCGGCCTAGGAGTACGCCTCAAAAGATACAAGGAAGTCAGAAGACTGCTTCGCAAGTTGGGTCCTCAGACAAAAGCAGTCAGTCTCGTGGTCTCCCTACGATACCATGCACACCTGGGAATAGGCCGCCGCCGGTGTCATCAACAGAACTTGGGAAGCCATCGACAAAGGACCCAATGAGTCAAGACCCACATAGGTCTTCTGAGACTCCACTGGACGCAGACGAAGAGCTCGTTGAAGATACAGTCATATACGCCCCCGAAACACCACCTCCCCCAGCCAGGGCCGACTCGGAACCGCCACCAAGCAGGCGCTCACGGGCCGACGAATCGCACGCCAGCCCGAACGCCCTGCTGAGGACGTCCAGCGACATCGGGCCGCAGAAGCTCGCGGACGAGGCCCGGAGGGCCATCACGTTCCTACCGGCGCACGGGTACCAGCACGGCAGCCTGGAGCTGCGGGCGCCGGAGCCGGCCGTGGGCTGCGGGGCCGTGGCGGCTGAGGACCTGGTGACGCGCGGGCTGGCCAAGCTGGCGGCGGACCTGTCGATCGCCCAGCGGTTCCGGCCGGCGGCGGCGACGCGCGAGCTGCGGCCGTTCGAGCGCGGGTTCTGGCGCGTCGCCTGCGCCGACTGGGCGCCCGAGCTGCGCGCCGAGACCTGGGCCTTCCTCGCCAACTACGTCGGCTCCGGGGCCGCCGGCTGGGGCGTCTCGTGCCGCCGCGACGAGCCCTTCGCGGCCCTGCGCGTGTACTGCTGGGGCGCCGTCGCCGCCCACATCTACCTGCTGGTCTACCTGGCCAGCCGGCGCAGGGTTCTGTTCACGGGCGCGGAGTGGGTGGATGGCGACGGCGAGACGGTCATCACCATGGGCAAGCGTGCGGGCGTTTGGCGTAGAGCATGATCTGGGTTAGCATGAGATAGGAGCAGGCGGCTTTTGACAGGCTTTCAAATGGGAATTTCCATCGGTATGGGTAATTTGCTTTCTTTTTCTTCCCTGTTTTCTTGCACGCACGGCGTATGGGCATAGGTTGGAGTAAAGTGGGAGGCATAATCATGGGCGCTCACAACCGCAAATATTGGCAACCTCAAACATTGTTGGTGCCATGGCAACACAACTTGTCCTTTATTACATCGTTTAGGAAACAGATGGAGAGAGATAACATCATCGTATTTGCGAAGCTCCAAACAAAACCCAGCCTGCTCGCCCAATACTCGAAACAAGGGAATCTCGGAAGCTTTGTACAAATGACATCTACAGTTCGCACGCAGTCGCGTCCTGAATTCTACAAACCTGGGTGACCCTTTGAACACAGTGTAGGAAATACATGACGTTTGGTTCCATGTTCCCGACTTCCTGAACCTAGAATTTACACGAGGCTACAGCCTGCTTGTATGATAGGGCCGGTGCACCTCAGGTGGAGGGGCTGGGGCTGGAGCGAACGCGAGGGTCACGGCCGAAGATGGCCCTGACCTCCTTGGTATAGCGCTCGTGGTCAGCCTCGGCAAGGTCGAGGTACGGCTGTGGCGATATTAGCATTTCCCATCTTCTCAAATTGCAGTCGGAGACGTACCTGCTTGTCACTGGCGGACAGTGACTTCCACTCTCGGCCGATGATGGGAGAGGCTTCGGGGGCAGTAGTATGGTTGTTGAATTCGCCAGATGCCCACCTCGCCTTGTGGTAAAACGCATATGCGTTGAGGGGGCCCTTGGGCAAGCGCTCATCCTTGATGAGGTGGACGTACTTGCCCTTGGGGAAATTGAACGTCTTGTAAAGCGTTCTGCGGGCGTTGTTGGCGTCCACAATCTGCTGCGGGGTGTACTGCGCGAGCCATTCCTTGAACTTGGCAGAATTGAGGAGCTTGTTCTGGTCGCCGATTTCCTTGAAATGCTGGGTACTTGGTCAGCAACATTACGTCAATGGGCAGGCCCTACGGCAGTCATAATACGTACAGAAACCTCAGATGAGGACAACGCCTTGAACCTGGCAGCAATTTCGGGCATCATCTTGGTGATACCTCCGGAGGGTAGCGCCTGTCGGGTCTCCTGAGTAAGGAAAACAGTCCATGCCGACTCGGGCAACTGCCTGGGAGTGTCGTACAGGGCCTTTTTCTTCAACTCGCGGCGCAGTTTGATGTCCTGCTGTTCGGGCGACAGTGGCTTCTTCGCTCTCGGGGCCTTCTGGACTGGCTTCTTGGCCTTGGCCTTGGCCGCGGTCTTCTTGGGCTTTGCAGCAGCTTTGGTAGAGGCAGGCTTCTTCGTCTTGGTGGAGGTGGTTTTGGCGGCGGCGGCAGGCTTCTTGGCCGGCTTGGAGACAGCCGTCGCGTAGAGTCGCGCAGCGCAGAGCCTGGCCGGTCGGAATGGCACACGGCAGGCCCATGTTGCGGCCACGACGTTGGCGGATGACGTAGCAACGGGAGTTGCGGCCAGCCGGCGGACGGCGGCGCGGCCAATGGAGGAAAGCATGGTGGTACAGAGGCGCGGAGCGGAGATGCGGTGTGGGCGGCTGCTCGGTGCGGTCGAGGTCGAAGTCGAGGTCGCCGGGTGGATGCGACCGTGACGACGCGGGTGGTGATGGGCTCTGAGTTGACGTTTGGAAGTTTACATTCAGTGGAGACTTGGTGCGGTGCGGTGGTGCGTGCAAGCTCAGCTTTGGTGCTTGGTGCTTGGTGCTTGGTGCTTGGTGCTTGGTGCTTGGTGCTTGGTGCTTGGTGCTTGGTGCTTGGTGCTTGGTGCTTGGTGCTTGGTGCTTGGTGCTTGGTGCTTGGTGCTTGGTTGCTTGGTGGTGCTTTGGTTGGAGCACCCACCAACCCCCTGCGTTTTAGCTTCCAGGTCTCGCTGGGTCGCGTGTTCCTGGCCTTGGCAACCTTGGGAGGCCTAGGAGCTGCCCACCAGCGACTGGAGGAAGACCTGAGCTTGTGTCACAGCATGACGCTAATCTCCCGCCCGCGCTAGAGACGAAGGTTGAAAGGCGGCGCTGTAACATGTACAGTGCAGTGGGTACCTAAGCTAGGGGGCTACCGGTAGGTAAGTTACATATGTAATCAAGTCCACGGTACGGCCTGGCAATGGGAGCCTGGCATAGCTACAGGCAGTTTGTCCAGGCGGTAGGCAATCCTGCTGTGTAACAGTGCATAGTATCCCAGATGCAGTCGTCGCTGCCTTCCATGCCCATGGCTGGCATGAGTGGTGCGAGTCCAAACAAACCATGATCCAGGTGCTTGACCAGTACTGTGTGTATAGCCGTCTATCTACTGTGCAATTGACCCCCGATTCTGCTGTCGTTCCGCAAGGCAGGCAACGGCGCACAGGCCAGGTCCCAGGTTGGTCTGGATCCCAACTCGCAAGTCCCGTCAAATACTAAAAGTATCTGATGGCCATGATTCATTCGCTATCAACCTCATCCCGCACCCCAGCTTCCCTTTCAGCCTCTGCCTGAATCAGCAAGGGAGTGATAGCTACATAGGTAGACCACGCCCAGGGCTCGTCGACTGTATCTGGCTGCCATTTCTGGTCCCAAGACTAGGAGGTAAACTCGAGCCTCCCGGCAATCTCTACCCTTGCCCACTCACTTACTTACGCTGCAGCAATCCGCAGCACACCCAGCGCCGCCGCGACGGCCGCTTCTTCCGTCTGCCTGATCTGGCCGGCCGAGTTGCAGGGGAAAAGGACAGTCAGTTTGTTTGCTCCGGGAGTGTTCATTCCACTGGATAACCCCGGGGATCCATCATCATCATCACCTTGTACGAGCGTGCCACTGTAGTGTCTGCCGAGTCGCACACTGCAAGGTCCGAAAATGGCTCGGCTCAGGGACTCGCGCTCACCAAGTCCTGCAGGAAGCTCAAGAAGAATCCGTCGAGATGACGACAGGCGGGATCGAGACCGCGACCGCGACCGCGACCGTGACTGGGACCGCCGCCGTCGCAGGTCGCGGACTCCTCCCGATGTCAGGCGCCGCTACGACCGGGACAGAGAATATGACCGTCGCCGTGACCGTTCTATAGACCGAAGAGACAGACGAAGGTCGCGTGACCGTTTTGACGACCGGGACCGCGCTGAAAGGGACAGGCCCCGGGACCGCGCTGAAAGGGACAGGCCCCGGGACCGCGACCGCGACCGCGACCGTCGTGACCGCGAGCCGGACAACAGACGAAGGCGCGACGACTCTCGTGACCCCCGCCGCCGGGAAGGGACGGCCGACTCCCACCGGTCTGCGCAGGCCGATGGCAAGGCCAAGGCTGTAGAGGTACGTACCGCTGGCCGAAAAGCTCATGCAGATATTCACAATCGTTTCCAGGAACCCAAGCCGAAGCCAGCGCCGAGTGCGGCCCAGTCAGACGCCGACAAGAAAGCCGAGCGCCTGGCCAAGCTAGCAGCATGGAAGAAGAAGCAGGAGGAGAAGGAGAAGGCCAAAGAGGCCACCCCTGGTGGAACCAGAAAACTCCTAGCTGAAATGGATGAAAAGGCTAATGGCTCAGCAACGGCATCACCAACTGTAGCTTCTCCTGCGCCTGCGCTTGCACCTGCGGCAGCCGCGTCTCCAGACACGGCTATATCGTCGCCGGGTACTCCCTACGCCGGCAAGTTTGATCCCAAAGCCATCGCCAAGAAGTCTGCTCGCGCGCATTCCCCAGGGGCGGCTCCCAAGCTGGGCGCCATTACCATTGCCGCGCAGCCCCCGCCCAAGGTTGCAAACCCCATCACTGGGCCTTCGAAGGCATCCGCGCTGCCGCAGACCAAGACTAGTGGTTTTGGTTTCCACAAGCAGAACGCCGACAGCGACAAGGCGCCCCAGAAGCGAAAACTCATACTCGATGAGGATGAGACCTCTGATAGGAAACTCGCCAAACTTCCATCGCTACCCCTTCCAGATGTCGACGACACGCCCTACGAGAACCAGGACGACGAAGAGGAAGATGCCGACAACTTTATGGGCGACGAGGAGGAAGAGGCTGCTGCCGCCCGCGCCGCCCAGGAACGTCGCGAGGAACGAATGGCGCAAGAAAACGCACAGCAGAGTACCGCGATGGATGTCGACGAGACCAAGGACGGAGCTTCTACGACCGTCAACGGTACTCAGCCTGAAGAGGCCAGTGCGGATACCATGGACGTGGACGAGGAAGACGAAGAAGATCCTCTCGACGCGTTCATGAATGATCTCGAGTCGAAGCCAGTCCCCAAGCCCAAACCGAAGACGAACGGCACCAAGCTCGAGCAGGAGCCCGAAGCGTACTTTAGCGACGATGACTATGACTACGATAAGAAAGTAGACGAGCCAGACATCCTTTCCTCGGTAGCCAAAGCGCGTAAGAAGAAGGACATCCCGACCATCGACTACAGCAAGTTGGACCTGGCACCCCTGCGGAAGAACTTCTGGGTCGAACCTGCTGAGTTGTCAGAGATGACCGAGGCTGAGCTGGTGGACCTGAGGCTTGAGCTCGATGGCATCAAAGTATCTGGCAAAGATGTCCCCAAGCCCGTTCAGAAATGGTCGCAGTGTGCCTTGTCGCGAACGACCCTCGACATCATCGATAGTTTGGGTTTCGACAAGCCAACACCAATCCAGATGCAGGCTTTCCCCGCCATCATGTCCGGTCGAGATATCATTGGCATGGCGAAAACGGGCTCCGGTAAGACGGTAGCCTTCCTCTTACCGATGTTTAGACACATCAAGGACCAAGAGCCATTGAAGGAGAATGACGGGCCGATTGCTCTGATCATGACCCCGACCCGAGAATTGGCGACTCAGATCCATCGTGACTGTAAGCCCTTCCTCAAATCAATGAATCTCCGAGCTGTCTGTGCCTACGGAGGCGCACCGATCAAGGACCACATCGCCGAACTGAAGCGAGGCGCCGAGATTGTCGTGTGTACGCCAGGACGAATGATTGATCTGCTTGCTGCAAACCAGGGACGAGTCACAAACCTAAAGAGAGTCACGTATGTGGTTCTTGACGAGGCAGATCGAATGTTTGATATGGGTTTCGAGCCCCAGGTCATGAAGATTCTCAACAACATGCGACCAGATCGTCAGAACATCCTGTTCTCGGCGACCATGCCCCGTATCATGGATGCCCTGGCCAAGAAGATTTTGAAGAACCCCATCGAGATCACCGTGGGCGGCAAGAGTGTCGTGGCCCCTGAGATCACCCAGATTGTGGAGATCAGGGAGGAAGACAAGAAGTTTGTCAGGCTATTGGAGCTTCTGGGAGAGCTATACGACAAGGACGAGGACGCAAGAAGTTTGATATTTGTGGAGCGGCAGGAGAAGGCTGACAAGCTCCTCAAAGAACTGATGCAAAAGGGTTATCCTTGCATGTCAATCCACGGCGGCAAGGACCAGGTCGATCGTGACCAGACCATCTCGGATTTCAAGGCCGGTGTGATCCCCATCATGATTGCGACCTCAGTGGCTGCACGCGGGCTTGACGTCAAGCAGCTGAAGTTGGTAGTCAACTACGATACACCTAACCATCTTGAGGACTACGTGCACCGCGCTGGACGTACAGGACGAGCTGGTAACACCGGTACCGCGGTGACGTTTGTCACCAGCGACCAGGAGAACAGCGCCTTCTGCATCGCGAAAGCTCTTGAACAGAGTGGCCAACCCGTGCCGGAGGAGATCAAGGCTATGCAGAAATCCTTCCAGGAGAAACTCAAGGCTGGAAAAGCCCGAGACTCGTCAGGCTTTGGTGGTAAAGGTCTGGATCGGCTTGACCAGGAGAGAGAAGCGGCACGGCTCCGAGAGCGTAAAACCCATCGCACCGAAGGTGACGAGGAGGAAGAAACCGAGGAGAAGAAAGATGGGGACGAAAAGAAGGACAAGGCCCTCTCCGCAATCCAATCAGCTGCCTCCGCTGTGTCGTCTCGCGATGCTGCCCCAGCGGCGCCACCGCAGCCCGACCTCGAACCCAAATTCACAATTCACAAGCGTGAGGATCCGCCCCCAGGCAAAGCCAACAATCCATTGGACAAGGTCTCGTCTGCAAGAGATGCCATCAATGCTCGCCTGGGCAAGTCTGGCCAGCTTCGACCTGGCCAGCCTATCGACAACAAGGGCCCCGACGCTGGTGCTTTCCACGCCACGCTCGAGATCAACGACTTCCCTCAAAAGGCCCGCTGGGCTGTTACCAACAGGACGAACGTCGCCAAGATCCTCGAGGCCACAGGGGTCTCCATCACCACCAAAGGAAACTTTTACCCTGCTGGCAAAGAAGTTCCCGCCGGTAGCGAGCCTAAGCTGTATATTTTGGTTGAAGGTGACACCGAGGTGGTCGTCTCTACTGCCATGACAGAGCTTACCCGACTGCTGAAGCAGGGCACCATAGCAGCGGCGGATGCAGAGAGCAGAGCGCCTCTTGGTAGATATAATGTTGTTTAGGTTGTGATAGTAGAATAACAAACATGGCCAGGCCAAGGGTCTATCACCGCATCTTTCCTCTAACAGGAGTGGGTTTCCTGCAGTGCGCGATCCACAGCATCCCCCACGTGCTAATGATACTGCGTCCTCAAGAAGACAAGATGTTGTCTGTAAACTCCAAATAGCATAGATCGCTACAAATGCAAAAAGTTTCCGTCCGCACTTTCCATCCAGCCCCATCGCAACGACCGGTGTCGACTCTCGAGTCACCAGGCGGGTCCTAATCGTAATTCCTGGCCTGCGCCGCCTGGTCCGCCTCGCGTGCTCTCAGCTCATCGCGGCTCGCCGCATTCAGGGTATCCTGCCTCGTCTGCTTCTTCTGCGCCTGCAACTGCTCGCCCAACTTGCCAGTTGATTTCTGGGCGGACTTGGCCCTTGCCTACAGGCCGTAGCATCAACAATCAGTTCACGTGTCCCTTGGCTTGAGTCCCCCTGGACCCGGTGGATGGCACGTCACCTACCTCGGCCGCCTCGGCGGCTTTCCGTCGCGCGTCCGCCGCAGCGCTGCTGTTGTCGCCACTGCTGCTACTACCACCACCGCCACCTCCTCCGCCGCCACCGCCTAGGGTCCGCGGCGGGCCTCCTACCTTCCGCGACTTCGGCACCGATGCGCGCTCCGGTTGGGGAGGCGCAGCGCCGAGGACCCGGCCCGGGCTCTGGAAGGCGTCACTGTCGGCCTTGCCACAGCAGACGTTCCCCATTGCGAGTAGGTTGGGTGTGCCAAGCGAATAAGAGAACACGGCAGCCCGGTTGAAGCTTCGGCTTGTGTATACGTGATCACCTCCGGCTCAGGTCCCGTGCTGGTGGGTCGAGGATCGAGAGCTAACGCTACGGCGTTCTGTCAAAGAGGATGTACAGGAGTTTTGGAAGGAGCGACGATAAGAACGGTCGTGATATCGAGATCCAGTATTCTTAGGGAGGGGCCCAAGTAAATGAACGAGATCCAAAGTAGCGCACCGTTGGCTGAGGGAGTTCGTCCGCTATGAGACGGCCCATGTGGTGTCGTCGTCCAGAGCCAAGAGATAGCGAATGCGGGGCAAAGCTTCCAGAACATGTTCCCAGCACAGCCACGAGCTTCGCGGGACAATGTCCTACATACTGTATGCGCATCCCACAGCCTATGGCATCTGCATACTGGCTTCTCTGATCAACGCAAGGCGCATTAGAAGTTGCCGATCTCCCGCTGAGCTGGATCTAGCTTGATGCTCACAGCGACCGTCAGGCTGAATGGGGGACTACGTACTGCAGATAGTTGTCGCGACAGCTTCCTGTCCGTTGATTTACACGCAATATCTCACTTTGACCATACGGCGTTCCAAAAATAATTGAACTTCATCCTTCTTCGAGGGTAGCAGTCCGTAATTTGTGAATTTCTATAATCTGTTTACTGTCTCTTGCGCTCCTCTGGGAGGAATGTTGGAGTTGAATCGTCTGCTACCTAGTTGGCACATCCCAACCAGGCGGGTCGGCGGAAGGGTTCCGCTGTCATCGGTGGTCGGCGACTTCTGAGCGCGACAGTCCATCGCAGCTCCCAAAACTTCAACGCCAAAGCTCATCATCGCCTTGGTTATTTGCGCCAGCACATACGCTCTTCCGAGGAACACATTATGGCCGCAGAACAGGATGCTGAGGACGTCAAGTCCAACAAACGTAGCCATTCCGAGTTCACAGAACAAGATGGCAGTGGTAAGTGAATCGCTCAATCCGCCGGGTCCCTTCCTGAAGCCTGGGAGGTGTTGTTGACTTGGGCTGACCGTGTACAGATAGCTCCTCGGACGATGATATGGGACCGCAGCTGCCTTCAGCGGCTGCGGCGCCCAAGAAGAAGCGACGAGTCCTGCCCTACGAGAAGCTCTACATCTCCGCCCTGCCCAAGGCAGCTCGATATTCGAAGTCCCTTATGCACAAAGAGCAGCTCGCCTTTGTGACCGTAACGCCCCTGACCGAGTTTCTCATTACGAGCTCCATCGACGGCGTGGTCAAGTTTTGGAAGAAGGTCGCCCAGGGTATCGAGTTCGTCAAGGAGTTCAAGGCACACAACGGAGAGATCACGGCCGTGTCCGTCAGCCAGGACGGAAGAAGTTTCGCGACGGCGGGCGTGGACAAGACGATCAAGATCTTCGACGTATTCACATTCGATCTGCTGGCCATGTTGACGCTCGAGTACACGCCGAGATGCGTATGCTGGGTCCACAAGCGTGGCGCTTCCCTGCCGATTCTGGCCGCCTCGGACGACGAGAAGCCGCTGATCTACATCTACGACGGACGCGGAGAGAACCAGACCCCGATACACACCATCAAGGGCTTGCACCGGAGCGTCGTGAACGTCATGGCCTTTAATGACGCCCACGACTGCGTGGTTTCTGCAGACGAAGGGGGGATGGTGGAGTATTGGAGCCCCAGCGCCAACTATGAGAAGCCGGACAATGTCTTTGAGTACAAAAGCTCAACCAACCTGTTCGACTTCAAGAAGGCCAAATCAGTACCGGTGTCTCTGTCCATCTCCCCGTCCGGCCATCAGTTTGTGACGTACTCGCTACCGGACCGTAAGATTCGGATCTTCGAGTTTGCCAGTGCGAAGCTCTACAGAACGTACGATGAGTCTCTGCAGGTCATCGAGGATATGCAACAAGCAGGCACTGCCAAACAGAAACTAGAGCCTGTGGAGTTTGGGAGGCGACGCGCGGCAGAGCTTGAAATCGAGTCTCCGGCTTTGAGAAACAAGGTCAATGTGATATTCGACGAGTCGGGCAATTTCATCCTTTACGGGTCTATTCTGGGCGTCAAGGTCCTGAACACCTTCACGAACCACATTGTGAAGGTATACGGAAAGGAGGAGAATATGCGGCCAGTCAACCTGGCGCTGTATCAAGGCCAACCACAGAAGAAGGGCGTCACCACCGTGGCCATGGCTGCTTCGGCGAACCCCTTGCTTCAGGAATCGGAATCAAGAGATCCGATTCTGATCACAACCGCCGTCGGTAAGGTTCGATTCTACATGTTCACGAATGACGAAGAGATATCCAAGTCAGACCGTGATGTGCAGAACGAAAAGCCCACGATGCTTGGGGCGAAGAAGGCCGAGCAGAAGAAGCAGGCTGAAACAGGAACGGGCGCCGTCTTGCACACGACATTCGGCGATGTACACATCCGTCTATTCCCAGATGCGGCGCCGAAGGCCGTGGAGAATTTTGTGACGCACGCGAAGCGTGGCTACTACAACAATACCATCTTCCACCGCGTGATCCGCAAGTTCATGATCCAGGGAGGCGATCCTCTCGGAGACGGCACGGGTGGTGAGAGCATATGGGGCACCGAGTTTGAGGACGAGTTCAGCACGCTCAAGCACGACAAGCCCTACACGGTCAGCATGGCCAACGCTGGCCCCAACACTAACGGTAGTCAATTCTTTATCACGACCGAGAAGACGGTAAGCACGGCCCTGTGGTGATCAATGGGCGGCACGAGTCAGCTAACTTTTCACGCTTCAGCCCTGGCTCGATAACAAGCACACTATATTCGGTCGGGCGGTCCAGGGGCTGGATGTGATCCATAAGATAGAGAACGTGCGGACGTACAAGGAGAAGCCGGAGGAGGACATCAAGATTCTCAACATTGACATATCGTAGGAAGTACTATATCCACTCTCTGTGTGTCGCAGCGAGATCGATCCATCTGGGAGGAGGTGCATAACATCTTATGGCTAGCTTGGCACAGAGAGAAAGAGAGAGGTGGTGGCTACGTCAGGTACATAGGCAGGGGGCCGCCACAGAGAGCTGGACCATCTAATCCGGTAATCCGTAGGTCAGGCATGCGGCTTACAGTACTTATGTAGTGTTGAGGGGTGTCCTGCTAGTGCGTCCCCCGAAATCTTCTAGACCAGAACGAATGGATGCCCTCTTCGGCCAGACTAGCCAATGGCTGCGACGAACCCCATACGCGCGGGCGTTGCTGGTCGCGGATTCGACAGCCCAAGATTTGCCCCACCCGTGGAGCTTGTTCGGGCATTTTAGCAGAATGCAAAGTGTAAGGCGGCCGGGGAACGGCCTTATCTCTGAGGTCCCATGCAAGATCAAATCCCAAATCTGGTGAGGGGCCCTGGCTCGTTGCTGCATCGACATAAAATTGGCCTTTTCGAGGTTGCGTGTACATGCCTACAATACAGTAACAAGCCCTCCTCCCTCACGACGTCTCACGGCCGGCTATGAAGGCGTCGTGATTCGTGCCGCCCGTTTCCCTCCTGCCGGGTGACTGACCGCCAGGGCCTGCCTGTGAGAATGTCTCGTCCGCCATCGCCCTCCATCCAGCAGAAAACCCTCACGTCTGCGCCTAGTCGTCATTCCCCACCTGGATAAGTCGAGAGAGTCTTGTTGTTGCTGCGCGTACAATGCCTCGCCCCAAGAAGCCCGGCGCACCTGAGCCCAAGAGGAGGAGTCGCAATGGTTGCTGGTCAGGACTCATCCCGCTTTTGCCCCTCATCAAATGCTTTTATCTGATCCGAGAGCTGACACGGCGCCAGGCCCTGCAAGAACCGCAAGATAAAATGCGGCGAAGAGCATCCCACTTGTTTGAAGTAAGACTCTTGAAGAAGCTCATGGCGTTTCCTCCGAGTGGAAGACCCGCCTGCATTTCTTTTTCTTCCGTCACAGCAGGCTCCCAGCACCGGCACTGCATGAGTGGTCTACTGACTCGGAGCTTTCTTATAGCTGCCAGAAGGCGGGTGAGACATGCGACTATAGCATACGCCTGAACTGGGATGGGCGGAGAGGCAAGCGGCCTGAACCGGGAACCATTGATTTCGCCCAAGAAGTCCCATCGCCGGCGGTCCCAACCAAGGGGTTCAAGCTCGTTCATCAGTTCCCGTCTTCCAATGCCCCATCGACTCGCAAGCTGGAGCCCCTGGTCTCTCCCGGCAGTTCTTCGAAGCTGGATGCAACTCCTACGCCAACTGCCGAAGCTTCGGGTCTATCCTTTGATAGCTCTGCTAATCAGTTTCAAGTGCCCAATAAGCGCGTGAAGCTGGATCCCAGCCCCGAATCCTCAGATACTGCTGAGAAACGGCCATCTTATTCGTCGCCTTCCTCCACTGCCGAGACCGGACCTGCTTCCTTCAGATTCCCAGCATCCAATGCTTCATCCACTGCATCGCCCTTGACGCCAGCCGCATCGTCTACTTACAGCGACGAGGGGCAGCGTCACGGCTCTCGCTCAGAGGTGCCGTCGGCATCATCACCGGATCTTAGGAGGATGTCCGTTCACTCTCTACTCTCCGGCCCTGGAAGATCACAAGATGATCAGGGCAGTGTTTACAACTTTGCATCTCCGATCAATTGGGACTCCATTCCCACTTCCAATCCACCAAAGCTGTATGGCATTGACCGCGGGCTGCCAGATTTGGATCTTGGAAAGAATGACGATGACAACGCCATTGGCACAGGCTATTCTCCCTTGAGCCAGCGAGATCACATCGATACCCCAGTAGGGGAATTCGACTCAGATCTGTTCTCGACTGGGTTTGCCTTCGGTGTAGAGACGACTGACACAAACGAAGACACCAAGGGTTACTATGATAAGCCTGTCGAAATCTATATTCCCCACCACCTTGAACCACTTCCACCCAAACTCATCAATAATCCTATGAACCTCCTCTACTTTCATCACTTCATAAATCACACCGCCAAGGTCCTCGTCCCTTATGACGATTTACAGGCGAACCCATTTAGAACCACATTACCCCTGATGGCCGTCAGGAATGAGAATCTTCTAGCACTCCTCCTGGCTTACTCTGCTTCTCATCGAGCAAGGCTTCTGAAACATCCGGAGCCGAGTCTGCGGATTGCAACGCTCGTGGACGACATCTTCCCAGCTCTGCGGGAGGCACTCTCAGATCCTCACCAAAATTTCTCGGATGCCAATGTTGCGACGGCCATCATGCTTGCTTCGCTTGAGATTGTTTCTCCCAAAGTCTTCGGCTACGAGATACCGTGGCAGAAGCACCTGGGTCTAGCTCGAGAACTTATCATGGCTCGTCCAGGTGGATTACACTACCAGCAGAACTTTCGACAGGATAATGTCTGCTCCTTTCTATGGAGTTGGGCCGCTTATCTCGACGTTATAGGCAGTTTGAGTGGTGGCCCCCGAGAGTCCTCAACTGCTTGGATGTTTGATTATGAGATGGAGGACAAACATGACGGCTACGATGAGATTGATTGCATAATGGGCTTTACGACCCGATGTGTCTATTTGCTGGCTAAGATTGCTGATTTGGCTCGGAAGTGCGACGCTGATCGCATTGGGCCCGACAACCAGATTCGAGCGGACTGGGAAGCGAGCAGCGAGACCTTGACCATGGCTTCAAAGCTCGAGGCAGATGTCAAAGACAGCATGTATCAGCCCATTACGCCTTGTAAACACATCCACACAGGCGGCAACATGGACAAGTGGGATCGTGTCGAGCTGGGAGCTACCAACGAAGCCTTCCACTGGGCCGGGTTGATCCACATCTACCGGCGAATATTAGGACGCCCATCAGAAGACAAACATGTTCAGACCGCTGTGCGCGAGATCATTGAATGCTTCGGTAGGATCCGGAGAGGCGGAACAGCCGAAGCTTGTTCGCTGTTCCCGATATTCACGGCAGGCTGTGACGCCCAAGACGACGTACAGCGAGCGTTCATCATGGAGCGCCTCGGGGCTGGTGAACATCATGGGATGAGTTCGGCGGTATTGAAGGTAAGCAGCCATGTCATCCTTTGGCTTCTCATGTGAGTTTGGTTCGTTTGTACTGATTCCTTCCGCAGGTACACAAAGCTCGACGAATTATGGAGAGAGTCTGGGAGACGGGACAAGCGTGGGAGACATTGTTGAGCACGGAGTTCATTGGGTAATTGACTAGAATGGCGGCGCAAATTAGACTGGCTAGTCTTGATTTTACTTGGAAAACCACGAGAAATGACAAGTCAGGTCATGGCGCATGTAAGTGTTTAGGGTTCTCATCGTAGTCCTCTTGATGGATTAAGCGATCGATAGAATGTAACGGCTTAGGCTCGTGTTCGTAACCATATGTCCTGGTATCCCGAACTTGATATGACCATGTATGCAGCGCACATCCCCCAGGCCGTGTGAGGCTTCGATATTACAGCTCAGGTATTGTGGAGTCTTCTGTGGGCGGCTTCCGATGATGCTCGCATTAGCGGTCAAGCTGGCGAGGAGTTGATTTTTAACAGTTTTAAGGATAGCAGTGGCTTGGACACAATAGTACAGTATTCGGATGCGCAGGGCTTTGTCTATCTGTGGATCTGACATGGTGGAATAGCTTCTCTGGCATATTTTACTTCACCATTGTGATTCGGTCAAACCCCCAACCCCCAACCCCCCGGGGAAATCGTGGACGGAGTCGACCTCGCGAGGTTTGCCCTTCGTCAAAAGCTTCGTGAGTATCAAGTAATCGCCTTGTAAGTTGATGCATTTAAAGACACGCACCATCTCTTGTGGCATATATATAGAGTAGCAGGATGGTCGCTATCAGAACGGCGTCGTCGCAGGTTATAAAGCCCCAGTCAGAGTTAGATGTTGTAACGAGTGGCATGACAACTCAAGCGATGACCAAGCGATTTTACTATCCACTCTTGCCACATGCTTTGAATTCATCTGCACTCACCCTATCAACGGCTCGAAAGAAGCCCCTGCGTGCCTGCTCTACTATATAAATCCCAGAAATACTATGTTCCTGCCTCTTATGAACGGGACTCTTTGCCAAACCTTGGTTACGAAATGACCCAGCCACGGTATGCAGAACCATTTTATGACCTTACTTAATGCTCTGGCGAAGTGGCTCAGCTACGGTACTCATTGCGTCTGGTACCGGTCACCCAAATTTCTGACGGGTGTCCTGCCCACGGCTGTATCTAGGAAGCACCTCGATGTCTCTGAGCCAGCACCTTCCTTTACGATACGAGATCCATCGATATTCTATTCACTCAGTTTTCCTCGACCGACCATCATGAATCGACGATAATTCAGGATCCGAAGGACCTGCGTCGTGGCACCCCTCACAAATACCAAATCTCTTTCCGCCTTTGATAAGTTCACCACTTTCCCGAGTCTCATCCTCTGTCTCTCCACGACATCACACATCTCCCCTCAACCTCTGGAGCAGCATACCGCAGCTGAGCTTAGCTGTGTTGTCACTGGTGTCTCAAAGCTGCTACGAACTGCTACCCAACCCAAGAAGACCACCTCACTTCATTTTTTAAACAAACTCTGGCTGTCATCGACTAGGGTGAGAGCCTTAGACTTTCCCTTCCCCCTCCCTTCCATTCTCTAGAGCCTTCTGTCACAAAACTCATCTCACCAGTGACACTTTCCCATCGAAGTCTCTGCACCTTGCTCGCTGAACGAATTTCATTCACCTGCCCGAAGATTGACAGCCCTCTTCCTTCAGGTCAGTACTCTCAGAGCATCACCCGAGGTTTCTATCCACTTGTAACTACTTGTCACCCCAGATGACCGTTTAAGGCATCGCATTGTTCCTGCCTGCAATCGCAAACGGGACACCTTGTGGTTTTCCCTGCACACTCACCTCTTCCCTCTCCACACTCAGTGCTTCAGCACAATACTGCAGATTACCATTCTGATACCACCCGATGCTGCCTTCTCATAAATTACATTCCGCGCAAATTGCCCAAACTACTCTCCAACATGCCTGGAATCAAGCGTGAAGCTACGAACCAAGCTCCAGCTCCTCTGGAAGCCTATGAGCAGCTAGCGAAGCGTCAGAAAATGAACTTTGAGCAGTTGCACACCTATTTCGTCAAGGGTTTCTTAGAAATTGCTGAAAAGATGACCGATTCTAAGATATCGGACTGCCTAAAGCTCCTAGTGCGCAAGAACAGACTGGCAGAAGACGACACCTTCTTCTTCGCGCTCAGCGCGGTCTTCATGCGGGCCCTCGTAGTCGAGAGTTCGGCTATTTTTCCAAAGATTCTTGACTGCAGAACGCCATGCCATTACAACGTCGTTCACAGATTTGCACTCTACTGTGAGCTGTGTCTGACCAAAGTGCACCGCGTTCTTGTATAGCAAGACGCATCCGATGTAAAACCACTGGGCTAAAGCGCATGTGAAGCGTGCGAGCCTTTCTTTCGCAATATGGCTGTTTGTGACCTCCTCGAAGTCTTCTTCTAGATGACTAAAGGTGAACTTTGAATTTCGCTTCGAAGTTGGGCCGTGTGCTGTCTAAACGTAGCTTGAGCATCTGCATGTCAGCATCATCGACTTTGCCTCGGATTCCAATAATCAAGGCGAGCTGGGACAAAAGACCTTGGAGGTTGCCAAGAGGCTCTTTCAGCTGAGTTAGGGTATTATGGACAGCGTTCGTCTCTACGGTATCGTTCAAACCCGTGAAGGCTTCAGGGGGGTAACTCAGACAGCCCAGATGTTCCCGGACCGAAGGCATCTGGTACTTCTTATGCTCCACAGTCTGGCCTTAAATCTTGTCGATTTCGGTGCTAGGCTCACGCGGGCAGCGAAACCCTCGGTTAGAGGCCGCTTCATCAAACAATGCCTTGTCTGCTTCTGCCGGGTCGGTTAAGAATCTATCCACCTCTTCCAGTTGCATATTCTTAACCTCTTCGTCGGAATATAGTGATCTCAGCACACCGTCAAGGCTACTTAGTCGTAAGAGCTCGGCTTCTGGGCCGCTTTGAGATGTGGTGAAGGTTTCTACCTCGCCGTCAAGCACTCGACCGGCTCTCAAAAGCTCGGGAAGCAGGTTCGAAGCCCCTTGCTGCCTTGCTCTCTCCAAGAGATCTTCCGTGGCACGTTTAGTTGCGGAGAGAGTGTGGCTTACGAGCGCAACGTCAAGCTTTTCCCTCTTGCGCTGGCGTTCTTGGCTGGAGCCTCTAGGCGCTTCTCGCCTCCTCCGATCATCTTCCGGCGTATCCTCAGTCGAATTGTCAACCTCGTCGACCGATAGCCAGTCGCTCCCATCGGTTTCATCGTCCGACGCACCCTCGCCCTACCCGTTGTCCTCTTCATCTGGCTGCTTCTCGCTTCCTTCACCAGACCGCTCGCTTCTGATGTCATCTGGCAGAACCAGGTACTGCCCTTGCTCATCCTGGAGCTTCACTAACACGGGCAGGTTCAAAGCTTCTTTGAAGGTGCTCAACCCAACGTGGCGGTTATCATCGCAGTCCTCTCGATGGATTAAGCGAGTAACAGAATGTGATGGCTTGCGCTCGTGCTCGTAGCCATATGTGTGAGTAAGGCCACGAGCGTGCGCGGGATAGATCTTGGATTTGTAGCCGAGGATATCTAGCGTCTCCTGGAGCGCTTGCTTTTTGGACAAGTCTCGAATTCGCGACCTGGTCACTTCAGATGTCTCCAACTCGGCATCGTCGTACCTGGGCCCGTCGTATCCTGGAATGTCTTGTGGGACGAGGACAGCGGCCTTCGCCAGCTTCATCTTCTTGAACTCCGGGATCAGGGACGGTCTATCGAGATAGCTGTCGTGGCTAGGGATCATCTGAGAGTCGACCAAGTCGATGAGCGTATGGTCCCTGCATCTGAGGTCGGCTTTGCTTCTCTCCTGTGTGGATCGTGACGGGTGGGAGAACACAGCGCGAGATGCAAGTCTACCGCAGTCCGGAGGGTCGCGGGCATGTACAGAACAAATAGCTCAAATGATGGCGCATCGATCCGGCCACCTGCAATACCTCAATATGCTCGTCGCGTGCAACATTGACGTAGTAGTCGCACCAAAGTAGTGCGTACAACAAAGAACTGATCCCATGTCATAAAACTTGATACGTTTTTTTGTACCAGGGTCCCACGAGGCTTTCGTATATGTCGGTCACGGGCTTGTACGACTGCCAAACACCCAGTTGGTCGTATGGAAAGCACTCCTCTGACAACTCTGTCCAAGCCGGCGTCCGCAAAAAAGGCTTCTTACCCTGCTCGTGGAGCTCGCCATATATTGTGACGACGGCCTTCTGGAGTTTCCAGGGCCCGTTTTCAGCCCATACCTGAGTACTGTCGTCTGGAACCCCTTGATTGGCGAACACACGCCCTTTCATGCCAGCTTTAACCCTTGTCAGAACACCAGGCACCGTGATCCCAATGAAGGGCACAAGCATCAATCTCGAGTGGGGACCAAAGCTCTTCGATCGGAAATTAGAGCCTTCACCAAGCATGCCATTTTCTTCCATGTGAATGCTGTCGGCGACCGCGTACACCCCGTACTTTCCTCCGAGAGACATTCCGAGGAGAATGTATTTGTGTGGCTCCTTTATCTGCTTTGATGCATATCCGGGGAAGTAGTCTGGAAGGACGGAATGTGCTTCTACCCATTCGAAGTCCGTCTTGTTGGCCGGCGGACCCAAAGTCTCATCCTTCGATGTGGGGGACCGGCTCCTCGCTGAGCTACGCGTGGTTCTCTGGCCAACCGCTCGCGAGCTCAAAGATTTGCGATCCATATCCTCTGATGATGAGACGCCTCGCGAGGCCTTGATGGCCACGTGGACGACGACGCGACAACAGCGAGTGAGGGTCGAGGGATGGATATGGGGGTCGGGAGGTTTAGGCAGATGACAGTGGAGAGAAGAAAAAGAAATAATGTGAGTGGCAAGGAACGAGCAGTCGAGGATATCACCAAGTGAATATTCGCGATTGCCACTGGGGGTATTCACAGCCGGAAAGATGATCCTTCGGCGCGGCACCCTGGGTGTTCAATCGGGCAGTAACGATGACTGGCTGGGTATTGTAGGCGTTTGAGATGACTGAGATCGTGGTAGCATATGGCTGGCGAGAGCAAAAGGTGTCCTGGTGAGGGGTTGATGGTGCTTAACCCAGGTTATTTTCCTGGTCTTTCGTTGCTGGGTGGGATTTTGATCTAGGTTGATTTCGCTGCCTGGATATTTGCAGTAGCGCTCAATGGGGTAGAGTCCTTTCTCTCTGACTGGATGGCGAGCCAGAAATCCCAAGATGTCCAAGTAGTTCTTGCATATGGCGAACCACCGGCACCTCTTGCCCAAAGAGAAGCCGTTGCGACTCCTGTGCCAGCGGCGCATACAGGATGGCGTCCATTCCTACATCCAAGGCCCCTCGGACGTCCGACTCGACCGAGTCGCCAACCATGAGCGTTGTGTGAGGGGAGGCGCCCAGTCTGTCCATCGCCAACCGAAAAGTCTGGGCCTGGGGCTTCGCGCATCCGGCTTCCTCAGAGCTGTAGATGCCGTCGACCAGGTGCTTCAGCCCTATGGCTTCGACCTTTGCGTTCTGGTCCTCAATCTGACCGTTGGTTACAATGCCGAGACGATAGCCATGTTTTCGCAGCTTGGTCAGGGTCTCGATGCTTCCCGGCGTGGATCGCCGGTTGGCCCTGTACGCCGGCTTGTAAGTGTTGCGGAAAGCTTTGATATCGTCGGGGCCCGGTTCCGGGAGCCCGAGGTCTCTCAAGAACCGCTGGATTTTCAGGGTATCTGTCTCTGCATAGGTGATCTCGTTGCGTAAATACATGTCGTAGGCTTGCTGAAGAGCCGCGTTATACCTGACGACTAATTCTTCCGGCTCGTGTCCCTCAAGACTTGTATACGTCTCCTGCACGGCGCTTATGGCGCAGCGCAGGGAGTGGCAGTGATCGAAAAGGGTGTTATCCAGGTCAAAGAGGACCGTTCTCACTATAGAATGTGGCTCCATGGGGCTTTGAGGCTGGAAGTTGTAGTATGAGCTTAGGTTGCTTTGGGAACATCACGTGTATAGCCCGAATTTAACTACGTGGGACAGAGCCAAAGAATGCGGCTGATTTGTGCTTAAACGTACGATCATAGAGTACAGCCTTTAAGTACGTCACCAGGAACAGTTGTATCTTGAAAATAAAAGTACAATCTTCTTTTGTAATACTCTTCAACATTATGAATGGTCCGTGTGTAATTACAGTAGAATAGGGTTGACGTTTAGTGTAGTATATGAAGCGCCTACTCCGCCTTTGCCAGAACGTCGCTAGCTAGGGTGCAGCGCGTGCCATCTAAATAGCCCATGTAGCTGATCATCGGGAACTTTTTTAAGGTTGTTCGTTGGGGGGTTCTCTAACGTTACCGCGCCGCTGGATCCCGCTTCCTCTTCACATGGGAGTGCGCGCTTCTCGTGCAGTCGCCTCGATCGCTGCCTCTGGGCGGTAAGCAGGATGAGACCTTACCTCGTGCTCGATCCCCAGTTTTCATCTTTATTTTCGGTGCACGTTGAAAGACAAGAAGGATGCGGATCCAGGACGAGTGTCAGCGTCAAAAGCTTCCGCGCGTGTTCGGGGGCTGTGTCCCTCACAGCCACACTGTACCCCACTGCACCCTCATGTATAATCCAGCAAATCGCGGGCTTCGTTCAAGGTGAATCTTTTAATATACCAAACCTGAGTGTTCCTGATAGAATACTGCGGCTCCTGCTCTACGTATGACTTCGGACCCGACAAAAGAAAGTATAGAATTCTCTGCCTCTCAAGAGCCTTGATGGAGGGTCCAAGGTTGCGCTGCGCCAAGCATTTGTAGAATGAAAAGGATTTCGGGTACAGTGGTGTCAGGGGCGGGCCATTAATCTGTCTCAGCGAGTGAACGGCAGATGCCTGTGGTCACAGAGTAGAAGATGCTTGCATCATATGCAACAAGATACGGGCGATCCCTCAACTAGCGGCCGCGGACGAGGCACCGCAGTGTCGTCCTGCAAGTCATGCTGAGATGCACCGCGTGTTCCCGCCTCACGGTGGTAGCATTGCATGTCGTCTGCGATCAAACTCACCGTCTTTCGAGCAAAAGACAACCGGCATCTGTCGCATACGCTGCCTGGCAAGACAAGGCGAACATTTTGCCCGGCTTCAAAGTTGAAACGTGCTGTCCTGCAGGCCGCACGTACGGAGCGTTCGCTCGTAGGGCTAATGTTACCGAAATTGACGATGTGGGGATTCAATGCAAGTCAGGAATACCAGACCTCCAACCAGACTCCAGCCATAATTGACTGTAGGACGATCACGGTCGTAAACAGCCCTATCGCGTGTTGCCGTTGACGTGATGTCTGCGAAATTCCCACGAAGTGGACTCGCACGTAAGTTCTAGCATTCAAAGTTTGTCTGTCTTTCTGGCGACAGGCCGTCAAAGAGTCGCACGCGGCGAATTGCCTCGTATGTACCAAGCCGTGCTATCTCGAATGCACATGTGATCCAGGGGTGTCGGTCAGGGACTCAGGGCGGACATTACAGATGGGCTTTCGGATGGGAATACCATGTCGAGGTCCTATCAGCAAGGTTTAGCGCAACTTCAGATGCGCCTGGGCAGTCTCAAGAGACGCCGAACTGTAGGACTTTCCGCGTCCTGCCAACTTTGTCGCTCTGTATTTCATGCCACACTATCGACGAGCCAAGCCCATGTTTTTGGAATTATCTTGATACCTGGGCACGGAAATGACCTTGGTCCAACACATATCATATATCAGTCAGTCACATTATTACAAGTCAGCACAGCTCACTTCCGCAATAACTCGAAACCGCCAATAATACCTACCTCCGCGCTCGTTACCCGCCGGCGGTACTAGGTTGCGCGAATCCTATTTTCTACTGTCAGCTAAACTGGGCCGCACAATTAAACCCCTGGCTAGCGAGCTTCTCGCACCGTTTTTCGGCACCTCTGCTCATTGTAGCATCGTAGTGCCGTTGATCTCACCTTGCAAGGTCGGCTCCCAAGCGCGTTCTATTTTGGGTGTGAGCGATTCCGCATATCGTCAAGCTCGGGGCCTAGGGAGGGCGCTACCAGCCAGTGCGGCCTGAATCCAAGATTGGCTGGGTGCGCAACGGTCTGCATACGGACAACCAAGAGGACCGATAGAGGAGAAGAAGGCCTGGAAAGATATCGCAGTCCGTCGATTGCATCCCCTCCGGGTGCGACTAACGCCTTACTGCCCTGTCCTTACCGCTGGGTGAGCAAGTGTCGGCAGTCTCCTTCGCAGGGCTGTGCAAGACGGCCTCGGCCAATCATCGCACGCGGCTCCTGCAGCCCGCGTCAAGGGCCCAAGGGAGCCAAAAGGTCCCCTTGAGCACCAGGTTGCCAGCAAGGCCAGGGTAGGAGGCCGAAACCCACGGATCGTGGACCAAGCCGTGGGACGGGCAGCCGCCGTTGGTCGAATCAGAGGCGGCGCGCACAAAGATCGAGTGGGCCGCGTCCTGTTTCTGGGAACGTTGGCACATCATCAGGTACGGAGTACATACGCGGAAGAAGAAGAAGAAGAAGAAGAAGAGAAGCGCGGTCCACGGGTGCAGCTACTGTGTAAAGTTGCCCAAGGTTCCGCGGTGCGCCAGCAGTTTGAGGCCAGTGCCAGTCCTCGTACACAGTACACAGTACAGGGCAATCAGTGGGCTTTCGCACCTCTGCCCAGGTACCTTTCCCCCTTTGGGCCAGTCAGACAGGCCACTTCTGCCCAGCGGCCCAGTAGACGACGGCGACCGCTAAAGGTGGTCCTGGACCTCTAGTCCCCCCCCAGTCCCCTCAATTCCTACAACTCCCCAAATCATCTCATTAACCCACAAACCCCCGACTTTTGGCGACCGCCCGCCATCGTCTGCCTCCCAACCGCAACCTGGAAACCCGTCGCCTGTCTCGTCTCCCTTGCGACACGTCACGCGCATCGTCGCGCACATCTCTCGATCGCATTACCACGGCACATTTGCACCAACCAACCTCTTACCGCCCTGGAACCCACCCTGCCCAGCAGGTGTCTCACGTTATCGACTGCTTGAACCGCGGGGGGCTGTGCCCGCTTGCATCGCCACGGTGCCCGGGTGCCTGAAGGCTGACTCTCCCAAATCTGCCTCGCACCACGTCGACTGCTTCTGTCTTTAGAAACACACAACCGACCATGGATCAACAAGCTAATCAGGGTCTGGAGGGTATGGCCGCCGCCAGAGGCCGGTCGCCATCTGCCGGCCACCAACAACAGCCTCATCATATAAGAAATAGCCACTCCCCTTCGCCTCACCCGTACCCATCCCCGGAGCCCAGCATCGGACTCGGACTCGGCCTTGACAGCTCCACACCCCAGTTCACCAACAACGACTTCACCAACTTCAACGCCAACGCCAGCAGCCAATTCCTCACCACCTCCCAGCCCCAGGTCTACTCCAACCAGGGCCTCATCGACACAACCTCCTTCGACGCGAACCAGGCCTTCACCGAACCCCTCAACCCCCAGACCCTCCTGGCTCCCGACTTCAACGGCAGCGGGGACTTCTCGCTCTTCCCGCCTACCACCCAGGCTGATCAGTTCAGCGCGCCTCTGTTTGGCGACAACCCTACAATCGGCACGCCCGACCTCAGCAACATGACCTCGCCGCAGACACATCACTCTCCCACGCCGCCGCACATGCTGAAGCCCGATCCACACCAGCCCGGGTCGGCGCACCAGTCGCCCTCCTTCAACCAACATCAGTTCTCGTCGCCCGGCTCCCGCTCGAGGACCGTGTCCACCTCGCTAGCACCCGAGGCCGCGCTTCTGGCAGGCCACACAGATTGGACGCAGGCTCAGTTCCAGGGTCACCGGAGGACACCATCCGAGTACTCGGACGTTTCCTCGGCACACCCGTCGCCCAACTTGGTCGCGACCGACAGCTTCGAACAGGCGCATTCAGAGCACGGTCACTCCCCGATGCAGCGACCCCACGATAACTTCGACTACGGCGTGAGTACCGGCTTGGGCAACTTCAGCATATCAGACCCCCAGATGGTCCAACACAGTCGCAGCCCGTCGCACAGTCCCGCCATATCGCCGCGCATCCTCCCTCAACAATTGCCCGACATGAGCCAAGGAAACCCGAACTTTGCGCTCGGAGGACAGCCTCAGGGCTACATGAGCGCGCCAACTATTGCGTACGCCCATGCAGGCTCTGAAGCATTCCCACAGCTTGACAACGGTGGTGGCATGGTCATGGCCCCACCTGCTATCAACATTGATTTCGCTCCCAACTCGAGGCAAAACACATTTGAGCCTTCAAAACCGTCCATTGACCAAGACTCACTTACACCACCGGACAGAGGTAAATCACACAATCACGAACATGATCGCGAAAGCGAGTACTAATCTCATGCAGGGCGACCTCGGTCCCGTCCAAGAGCGGTAACGGACCCTTATAACAACGGTGGCGCCAACCTGTCCAGGCCCTCTACGCCTGGAAGTCTGTCTCCTCATCTCGGTGTCGAGCGGGCGCGTAACAGGTCGGGGTCTGACTCGTCCCGCTCCATCTCGCCGTCTTTGTCGCCGGGTGATCGCTCGGGCAGCGCGAACGCGGCCTCGAGGAGGCGCCAGTCCATGTCTGCTGTCCCCAACAATGTGATCGCCCTCAGACTGGCAGACCCCGAATACCAAGCCGCCCAAGACAGCGGGAACACAAAACGCGTGCAGAAGCATCCTGCCACCTTCCAATGCACCCTGTGCCCTAAGAGGTTTACTCGTGCTTACAACCTGCGCTCGCATTTGCGTACCCACACTGACGAGCGCCCCTTCGTGTGTACTGTTTGTGGAAAGGCGTTTGCCAGACAACACGACCGGAAACGCCATGAAGGCTTGCACTCTGGTGAGAAGAAATTTGTCTGCAAGGGTGACCTGAAGGCTGGCGGCCAGTGGGGTTGCGGGAGGCGATTTGCTCGAGCAGATGCCCTTGGCCGACACTTCCGTTCAGAAGCTGGACGTATTTGCATCAAACCCCTACTAGACGAGGAGATGCTCGAACGCCAACGCATCTGGCAAGAACAGCGAATGCAGAACATGGCTGCTCAGAACATGGCTGCACAGCATGCTGCGGCCATGGACCCCGGCATGTACCCGCCTATGGACCCCAACCAAGGCTTTGCTCTTCCAGCTTCTCTCCTCGCGCAATACCCTGCACTCGCCCAGATGAACTGGCAGTCAAACGATATGGGAAATGTAGAAGACGAACTCAGCGGCCGATCTAGCTTTGATGCCTCCGATTACGATGAAGGTGACGAGCAGGGCTACGTATCGGGTCCTGGAACCGGGTACGGCGACGGAGGCATGCAGCAAAACTTTGGTGAAATGGGATATGCAAGTGACTATGGCCATCGGTAGTCATCGTTTCCCTTGACACCGCCTCAAGTTCTGGAGCTTCTCGGTTGAGCTGGAAGTGGCGCACCCGGGAGTCTAAATTTATTTCACACCAACGATGCTTACTAGTGGGTGACTATACACGAGGTTGGACCTGGGCTTCGATGTTCAATCGGTTGGATATCGGATGACGGTGTTATGACACGGCCTTTATGTTTGTTTGTTCAAATTCTGTAGACGGCATCTTAGATACCAAACGGAGTTACGTCGTGTTTATACTTGAATAGAAGATGGATCTGGTTCATCTCACAATATGCTTCTCGACTCCTCTCGTACATTTTCGACCTCTCCAGTGATGCTGCCAAGATTGGGTGATAGGGGGGATTACTTGCTTGGATCGGCTCTGAGTAATGAGAAAAAGGGCATTTGCGAACGACTCAGAATAGCTTTGTTTCTGTTTGAAATCTGCGCTGCCGCCGCCATCTCATAGTCTCAGCACCAGGCAGAGAAGGGTTGCCTGGTATCTAGTAGATGATAGGGACTACGCTAGCATTAATGCTGTGGACCCGATTGACCTGTTTGGCCGATGTTAACAAATTCAAATCCGGGCAGACTCTTCTGTTTTCGTTTCTTTGATTCATCTAACGATCATATAGAAGTCTACTATATGCAAGGTGAATAATTCAACCCTGAAGGAAAGCCTTGAGGATTGTGACCAGAACGGTTGAGAACCATGGGGCTTACGGGCACGCCATTTCCTGTCGAACTATGGCGTTCAATCTGTAATTATATTGAGGCTGAATACTTCGACGCCGATGCCAGGGAATCTCGCAGCATTACCAGCGCGCTGGCGAGCCTGAGTCGAACATGCCGGCCGCTGCACTGCATTCTGCAGCCTGTGCTCTACACGGCTCCGGCGATCGTCGGCATGCCGTCGCTAGAGTTCTTCTTCCGGACTGTCGTCACGCGCAGTGACCTCGCCTCGACGGTGCAGACGGTCAAGTGGTATGAAGGGGATAGCCAGGATGTGTACCGATGGGTTCAAGTGGACGACGAGGGACTGGACCTTGGGGATGAGTTCCACTCTCGATATTCCGAGTGGCTTCACGAACTCGACATCGATCAACCGGACGGGCCTACCCGTGGGTTCGAGGATTGGATGCACGAATACGCGCAGCTCCTGCCCCTCTTCTTGCCGAACCTGCAGACCCTGGACTACCGGCGCGAGCCGCCGCTGAACGACTTCGAGCACTTATCGGAATACTGCTACCGCTCCCAGAAACCGCTCAAGGCCCTGAGAGACCTGAGGATTCGTGCGCAGGGCTGCGGCGGCTTCGGTCTCCGCAGCATTGCATCGCTTCTCCGCGTGGCGCGTGACACGCTCGAGAATCTTCACCTGGAGGGACCTACCAACGTCAACGAGGTCGGTGAGTGGCCACCGAAGCCTGATCTCCAGCGACTGAAGAAGCTCAGCGTCCTCGATGGGCGTCTAGGCGATGGTTCTTTCATAGAGCTCCTGTATCACACGCCGCATCTGGAGGAGTTCTCGTACCATTCGGGGTGCGAGTCGCCAGAGGACATGGATAACGAGGAGCGCTTGACGTGGACGACCCTGACCGCGGCCTTGGAGCCGACCCAAGATACCCTGCAGGTGCTGGACCTAGGCCTCTATCCGGAATACCTGGCGGGATACGAGGTCCGGGAGAGCCTCGAGTTCCCTTGGTCTTTCAAGGATTTCAGTCGACTCCATACCGTCTCTTTGACGCAGGCGACCGTGTTCCGGGAGGACACGGAGTTTACTGATGGGAAGCTGCTTGCTGCAATTCTGCCCAAGACGCTGAAGCACTTCGAGCTCCGCGATTTGCGCGCCGACTTCGTCGGGGATGTGCTTGGCTTGGCCGTGGCTGCTCAAACAGGAGATTTCCCGAGGCTGGCGACGGTGCGCCTGAAAACTGCGGCCCCAGAGCCGCGGAAAGACGGCTGCGACTCGGATCCGGTTCTTATCGCGGAAGACATAGAGGAGATATCGGAAGCCTTCAAGAGTGCGGGAGTTCAGATAGATATTAGATGACTACTCAACCCACGGGTTAGTAGGTCGGTTTTTGACATTTGAAACAGCGATGTCCCACCGAATCTGGATCACAATGGATAAGACCAGATAACCGGAAGAAATGCTATACTTTTCAAGCGATGCGCCTGCATCAATTCACCCCTTTCGAAGTGGCCAACTTAACAAGATAATCATTATTAGGATGCTCATCCCAAATTTTACAAAAGAACACCCCACATGGTTCAGTCTAAAAGATCAGAAAATTGACTATCGATATACCTACCAAGTTAAAATTTAGAAATATTAACATTTACGCTGGAGCCAAGGACTATAACTGTAGTAAGGGATATATTAGTGCCCAACGCAACGGCTCCATTTGCAACTTGAGTAGTAAACCGTTGCAAAGAGCGTGCTCTTCCCCGGGTCAAGAGCGTTCGACAGACTATCACTAAAGGAGCTTGACAATGCATGATTGCTGTGGTCCTACTTCCGAAGAGGTTGTTCGTGTTGTTGGGCCCTGGAGTTGAACATTCCTATCGCGTTCTAATTTAAGCATATCAGGCTAAGCCCCGTAATCGGTGGAGGGCTTAGCTCGGAGGACGTTGCCAGCGGGAAGATCCCGCAACCTTAGCCAAACGTTTGGAAGGGATGGACTGGGGTAGCCCAGCCGATTGATGTGACATCGCCTTCCAACGTCGAAGTCGCCGATAACGATAGGGATACTCGACAGTTATCTCACGAGAGCCAACGGACAAAGGATCCCTTGGGTTGCCGCCATCTCTCGAGGAAAAAGCAAGACGGAAGAGATCACAGATTTCCCGCAGCCAGCGCAAACTTAAGATTTGGTACCGAATCGCCGACAGTGGAAGGTGTTCGGCATTTCTGTTGGGAACAAGTTCTTGACCTGCGTGTTGCTGACCGGATCTAGACCTTGTGCTGCTTTACGGGAATTATGTGTTCAGAAACCACTGCAGGAGACCGGAGCAGCTGCAGATTACATTGTAGCAGTGCATGAGCCAGGCTTGCCAGGCCAGCGTCTATAAGTCCTGGCCAACGACCATTGAATTCACTGGGTCTTGACGGACAGTTGTTGCGTCAATGAAGCGCCTGCAGACGCTTTATGCCCAACGAAGATACTTTTTAGGTCACAGAATCACCTCTGAGACGCATAGGATCTGTAAGTGGCAAGACTTTATCCCAGGCCGCCTATCGCGCGCGTCTCTGGGGACTTGCGGTCAGTTTGGGCAAATGCTGGAAATGATGGTGTTGTTACACACGATGAGCCATTCTTTCAGCCTCGCTAGGTAGGCTTCCGTCTGCTCTCACAAGACCAACATAAACAGCAGGTACGGCTAGCAAATAAGCCAATGTACGTTTCCACTTTGGGTTTGACCGCCGACAAACATCTGACGAACTGGTACAGGTGGATATGAGGATCCACGGGTAGTAATTCATGCGTCAATGCTCTGCCGAAGAGCAACCCAATAGTCATCGCAGGAATGTCCTCGACGCGTAAAGAATGTCAAGGCTGTATCTCGTTGGACGAGAGCCAGAGAGGCTAGGAGAAAAGTTTTCTGTTTTTGCTGCAATCGCGTCCACATCTGCGCTGTTTTGTCGGTTGGCCTCCATGTAAGTTGGAGCGGTGAAGGGCGTCGCGATGCCTGTTTCGGCCAAAGTGCGGGCTGGCGCATGGCAGATCTGCCCTACGACCTGCGACTGGGTAGTTCCCGCTGGAGCTCTGCACCCACCCAAGTTCACGGCGACAAAAGGCGCGTGGGAGTGTCGATAGAGGCACATTAGTTGCCGGCGCGCGCCGCGAGATACAGCAGGACACACAGTAACTATCCGCATGTAACAAGCGCTTCCAAACCAACCGGTTGCGGCAGCAAGGATGGGGCTGCAGGCTTCGTGATTTCGGACGATTCCCATCATGGGGAATTCCCCATGGCAGACGCCCGACAGGCCCTGCTGAAGACCTGCAGCCATTGCATCTGGCATATCCACCCCGAGATGGATCCGACAACGTGGAAGGCCGCCGTTGTTCAGAACCAGGAGCCGATACATGCTAGCAGCGGCATCAGTGCCCAGTCGTCAGGTATCGATACCTTTCAGCATGCAGCCAGGCAACAAATCAGATTATGTCTTGGTTGAGCCGCCTACTGCGCGTGAGATCAACGACAATGGGCAATTGGATTTGAAGGATGACTAGTTGCGCATCCGTCGGGATTGCGCGCTCCATAGTTCCACACGCGACACCGGACCAGCGACTTACACGCGGATCACACCTTCCTCGGGCGCGAAGCGGACTGGATATTCCCATATTGCCACAAAGGAGGTGACCAGATCAGGAGAGACTCGCTGTCTCTGGTTTTACCGCGCTCAGACGGTCGAGTGTCCCGCCTAGCCGGATAAGGGCATAAACAGGCACAGGGGCCATGATTAGGGCAAGAGGCGTTACAAAGCGACCGAAACAAAATTTCGGCGCTTTGGAGGGGTTCATGTCTCGCAAATTTGGCAGTAAGTTTTGTGAGGAGGCTGGGTGACGATGGATGCTCTCTCGTCTCCTCCCCGGCCAGCACCGGTGACGTCCTGGGGTGTCCATGTAGACAGATTCGGCGCTAGGATAAGGGTCGCTCAGCAGGAGAGGAGTTTCTGTGAAATCGCTCCGCAACGACCCGGGGCCCACAGCAGCTTTGTCCATAGATCTTGGGGAAGCTAGTAAAGTATTCCAAGGTTGTTCACAACAGCCGACACCATCCCGATGCGCGCCAAACCAGGCAGCTAAGTTCTGGGAAGGTTGTGTCCGCAATCTTGATGTGCATTCCGCACTAGGACAATAAGGCAGGATGGCATGACCACTTTTGGATATGGGCCTCGTGGTACAAGACAGGCAGTACACCGTACTATAGTAAGTAGACGGTCCCGGGTGCAGCGCGCGCACAGGGAAGTCGACTTGGGGTTGGGTGTGTACAAGTGAGCGTGTGCCCAGTGGTGACAGCCTGGAAACCTTGGAACCGAGGGGCACTGGTTGACTGGGGGGGCGGGTGGAGACCCTTTTTTTGCTGGTGCTGGGTTGCACCTCCGCGCCCGTGGGTGTGTCACGTTGGCAGCCGGCCAATGGCCTGTGAATGCGGCCCCTCCGGCCACATGAATTTCGCCTGTATCAATCCACACCCTCTGCAAGTCTGGCTGTCTGGTTTGTCTCGCTCCCTTGTCCACAGATACTGGCCAGTCGCGAGCCTAATGGTCATTGTGCATGACCCTGCAGAGAAGCCCATACATAAGACCAATAGATCGCCTTTTCCCGTTGTACATTTGTATCTTTGCCCTGGCGCAAAGGAGACGAGAGACTTCTGTCCCGCTTGGGAGTAGCGACTTGTAGTTGCATGAAATCCGCCCGCATCCCACCAATGCCAGTTATCTGGCCTGACTTGACGAAGAAGCACCACCAGAGCTTCGCATGCATTATTGGCTGCTCTAGGACCGCCCCTAGAGAATAGGGACAGAAGAAGCAGTGACCGAGAGACGTGGCTGGCAGAAAGGGCCCTTCTCCTCCAGGCATAGGAAAACTTCCTCCCCGTCCCTCTCTGGAGAGAATTTACTTGAGAGCTTATCCACCAGGTCCCCAGCACCTTCGACGACTTACACGAGGCGCCATACGGAGCGGACGAGGGCTGTGCCTTTGATCCTCTGGTTGCAGTAACCCGCCGAAACGCCTTCGCTGCCGACACCGCACCGCCATATAGTCTTCTGCGTCTCGTCGAAGACTTGCAGCGTCCATGATTCTGTCGTACAGCTGCCATCAGTCGAGCGTCAACCCTCAGAATGGCTGCGGCAGCGGTTCTGGCGTGCTCCGAAGATTGGACAAGAAGCGGATATGGCTGGCCAACGACCCGGCCTTTGACGAACACGACTCTGTGGGATGAGCTCACGGTCGAGGCTCGATTAAAGCTCATCGCGAACGCGTGGTGCCTTTCGAGAACCAAGTTGGTATGCAGTCTCCATGGCACCCCCCTTCCCGCCTTGCCAGGGCCCGACGGCTCGGGACGCTGCGCGAGAGCATACACGCCGAGCGGCCTCAGACGCTTGCGCAAGTGCACAGTCCTGCTCTATAGACTTCGCGGCGTTGAGACGGGTTCCTTATGCCTCTCCAGGCGTTGCGCCTCTGACTTTAAACTCTAAAGACTAACCGGGGCCACCAGAAACATGACTCGACCTACCCCTCACCACAACTCCTCCGATATGCGATCACCAAACCCTTGATCATTCCCGACGCCACGCCTAAACGCTCACGGCGGCTCTCAGCACAATGCGACATTCCCGAGTCGAGTGACGGGCCGCTTGATCCCGCCGGAACTGGCGAGCAGGCCCGTCAGCGACCTCCGACGCAGGATCTCGCCGCCCCGCCGCCGCCGCCGCCCTCTGATACCCGACGAGAACGTCAAAGGGACGCGATCTTCCATGATCCGAACATGGACGTCCAAATTGACTTCTCATCCGAAGACGGTTTCTATCAGTTCGCCAAGAAAAAGAAGAAGCAGACCGCGGCCTTCAACTGGGACGAGCCCGAGAAGAAGGACGAAGGCACAGGGGACGGTGGCGATGGCGGCAACGGCGGCGACCAGAATGGGGGTGGTGATGCTGGAAACGCTGGAGGCGACGGTTCTGGTGCCGGTGATGGCAACGGAGATGACAAGAAAGACGAAGGCGGAGACCAAAACGCCGACGATGATTGGGGGGCCTTTGCGACTGTTGGCAAAAAGAAGAAGAAGGGCAAGAAAGGGGCAGCTGAGGAGGAGCCCGCCGCCACAGAAACCAAGGGAGACGCATTTCACGAGATCAAGCTTGACGATACAGGGCCATCACTCGATTTGAATTTCTCAGCCGGGACTACAGATGCCAAGTCAAACTCGTTTGGCACCTGGGGCTCCAGCTGGAATACTGGCAATACATGGGATTGGTCTGGCGCCAAAGATGGCGGGACTACTGAAGAAAAGCCCGCCGAAGAGAAAAAAGAGGATTTGGATGCCAATCCCTGGGGCATCAACCGGCCCAAGCCCAAGAAAAAGGGCAAGACCACCTTCAGTTTCGGTGCCTTCGACGAGGTGGAAGAGGAAAAGCCCGAAGAGCCCGCAGAGGAGAAGAAGGACGACGACTTCGGCTTCGGCTTTGGCACAAGCAAGAAGGACAAGAAGAAGAAGAAAGCCAGCATATGGGATCCAGAGCCCGAGGAGGAGAAAAAGGATCCCCTTGCTGACAGTCAAGACCTAGGCTCTACCGGTGCAGGTGATGACTGGGGTGGCTGGGGAACTACGACCAAGAAGAAGGGCAAGAAAGGCAAAGAGCCCGATCCACCAGCGCCTGACCCTCCCGCACCTGAACCAGAGGCACCCCCAGCTGACGATCTGTGGTCGTTCGGCGCCTCCAAGAAGGATAAGAAGAAAAAGAAGAGCACTTTTTCATGGGCAGATGAGCCGGAGCCGGAACCTGAACCACCCAAGGAGCCGGAGCCCGCGCCGGAGCCTCCTGCTGAAGATGACTTCTGGGGTAGTATCACGACCAAGAAAAAGGGAAAAAAGGGCAAGAACGCCGTTGAGGAGGTGAAGGAGCCTGATCCGCCAGCCCCCGACCCACCGACCCCCGAGCCAGAGCCCGAGAAGAAGGAGGAGGAGGACTGGGGCATCTGGGGCGCAGCCACTACCAAAAAGAGCAAGAAGAAGAAGAAGGGGGCAATCGAGGAGATGGACCCTCCCGCGGTGCCAGATCCTCCTCCGGCAGCTCCAGAACCAGAGCCTGCCCCTGTTGAAGATGACTGGGGCATGTGGGGCGCGAGTAAGAAGGACAAGAAAAAGAAAAAGGGTGCCATTGTTGAGGAGCCAGTAGTGGAAGAGGTAAGTCGTGACCCGTAGATGACATCAACCGATTCATTCCATACCGTTTACAAGTCACTGACCTTCGCAATAGCCTAAGGTGGAAGAGCCGGCACCGGAGCCCGAGCCAGAGAAGAAGGAGGACGACGATTTCTGGGGCTCTTTGACGACGAAGAAGGATAAGAAGAAGAAGAAGGGCAAGAACGCGGACCCGGAACCAGAACCGGAACCGGTGGTAGAGCCCGAGGTACGCATGTTCTCCCAATCAAATAGTTCGTTGATGGGCAATGCACGGCGAAGAGCAAAAGCTCTGGACCGTCATCAGTATTTCCACTCTTACTTGAATATTTTATACTAATGAAAATACTCAAAGCCCGAGCCTGTCCCTGAACCGGAACCGGAGAAGAAGGAAGAGGACGATATTTGGGGCTTTTCTACTTCCAAGAAGGACAAGAAGAAAAAGAAGAAGGGAGTTGTTGAGGAAGAGCCACCTAAAGAGCCGGAGCCGGAGCCGGAACCAGTCAAGGAAGAGGAGAAGCCCGCTGAGGATGATTTCTGGGGCTCGCTCACCACTTCGAAGAAAGACAAGAAGAAGAAAAAGAAGGGTGTCCTCGAGGAGGAGCCCCCGAAGGAGCCGGAGCCGGAGCCTGTTCCGGAACCCGAACCTGAACCCGTCAAAGAGGACAAGCCAGCCGAGGACGACTTCTGGGGCACAATTAGCACATCAAAGAAGGACAAAAAGAAGAAGAAGAAAGGTGTCCTAGAAGAAGAACCGCCGCCCAAGGAGCCGGAGCCGGAACCCGAACCCGAACCCGCACCTGTCGTCGAGGAGAAGAAGGAAGAAGACGATATATGGGGATTCAGTACCTCTAAAAAGGACAAGAAAAAGAAGAAGAAAGGTGCTGTTGAGGAGCCTGAGCCAGTACCGGAGCCTGAACCGGAGCCCGAGCCTGAACCCGTCGTCGAGGAGAAGAAAGAGGAGGAAGATGACCTATGGGGTTTCTCGACCAGCAAGAAGGATAAGAAGAAAAAGAAGAAGGGTGGTGTTGAAGAGCCTCCACCTGAGCCTGAACCAGAACCTGTTGTGGAGGAGAAGAAGGAGGAAGATGACCTTTGGGGATTCAGCACCTCCAAGAAGGACAAAAAGAAGAAGGGCAAGGCTGCTGAACCTGAGCCCACTCCTCCGCCCCCTCCACCGGCACCCGAACCAGAACCCGAAGCTGATATCTGGGGCACTTCTACTTCCAAGAAAGACAAGAAAAAGAAGAAGAAGGGTGTCGTGGAGGAGGAGCCTCCTCCTCCACCACCCGAACCGGAGCCAGTCGTGGAGCCGGAACCGGAACCGGAACCAGAGCCCGCGGCTGAGGCGGATAGTGCCTGGAGCTTCTGGGGTGCCACGAAAAAGACAACCAAGAAGAAGGGCAAAGATTCAAGTGCTCTGGTCGAACTGGAGAAGGAGCCCGAGCCAGCACCTGATCCACCCCCTGCCGTGCCCGAGGCTCCGGATGCCGGGGGTGAAGATGACTTCTGGTCGACGTTTGGCAGCAGCAAGAAGGACAAGAAGAAGAAAAAGAACGCCGATGGCAGTCTCAAACCTGATTCGATCGAGGAGCCCAAGGCCGATGACTCCTTGGCCCTTTCCACAGACAAGAGTAAGTTCAGCAAAAATGTGCCCGTCGAAGTCGAAGGATCCCACATCAATGGTCTCAAGCCCGACTCTGTCGCATCGACCCTGGATAGCAAAGTCGACGATGAAGACTGGCTCTGGGGCACATCGAACAAGAAGAAATCCAAGAAGAATGCATTGGCTGATCCTCCCCCTCCAGCTCCCACTCCACCCTCCATGGACATGGAGGAACCTGCACAAGAACTCGAGACGAATGTTTGGGATGATGCACCATCCAGCTCCAAGAAGTCCAAGTCGAAAGATAAGGACAAGGACGACAAGAAGAGCAAGGAGAAGGAGCCCAAACTGAGCAAAAAGGAACTTGAGAAACTGGAGAAGGAGAAGAAGAAGGCCGAGAAGGAGCGCGCCAAGCAAGAAGCCAAGGAAGCGGAAGAGGCTGCCCAGCGGGAGGCCGAGGAACAGGCAGCTCGCGAAGCCGAAGAGCAGGCGCAGCGAGAAGCAGAGGAGCTGGCGGCAAAGGAGGCCGAAGAGCAAGCCGAACGGGATCGTTTGGAAGCCGAGGCGGCTGAGATTACGAAGGAGGAGGAAGAACTTGCTGCGCTGACAGCGAAACAGGCCAAGCGCAAACTCACAAAGAAGGACCAGGAGAAGTTCAACCGTCTCACTGAGAACGCGAACCGTCGCGCCGAGGAGCAGGCTGCCAAGGAGGCCGAGGAACAGGCCGCAAGAGAAGCTGAAGAGGCGGCTGCTCGGGAAGCCGAAGAGGCGGCCGCCCGCGAAGCCGAGGAACAAGCTGAGCGGGAGCGCCTCGAAGCTGAAGAGGCCGCTGCAAAGAAGAAGTCCAAGAAGAGCTCAAAGTCCGACGAGAAGGACAAGAAGTCTTCCAAGTCCAAGTCCAGCAAGGACAAGTCGTCGTCCAAGAGCAAGGACGAAGCCGCCGATAAGGACGATAAGGACGATAAAGACAAGGATCTCCTGGATCTCGACAACATCGAACTTGACCCTGCCGAAGTCGACGAGCTCTTATCTCCGACAACGAGCAAGGATAAGTCCGACGCTTTCTCCTTCTGGGGTAGCTCCAAGAAGAAAGGTTCGTTGCCTCAGGCCAGGGCGCCATCGCCCCCACCTCCCCAACCGTGCATACGCACCCCAGATTGCCAATTTCGTGCTAACTGTTCGGCAGGATCCGAGATTAAAGATGCTGACTCGAGCAAGATTCTGGAAGATGCTACTGGCGACAAGGACACGCCATCCTCTTCCAAGGATGTCGCGGCTGATACCTCGATGAAGAAGAGCAAGAAGAGCAGCAAGATCGCTGACAAGCTCAAGGCCTTTGAACCACCGGTTGAACCCGACCTGATTGACATCCCGCCCCCGCCACCTCCGCCACCGGTGGAAGAGGACAGAAAGAAGTCCAAGTCCAAGTCCAAGAAGGATGTTGATTTCTTGGATGACGACTACTTCTCCCACAAGAAAAGCAAGAAGACCGAGATACCTGGCAGCTTCCCCATTGACGACGAGGACGAGATAATCGAAGTCATCGAGATGTCGCCAAAGAAGAGCAAGAAGAGCAAGAAGTCGCGCGACATCCCGCCCGAGGCTCCGCCACCGCCGCCTGCTGTCCCTGACGCGCCGCTTTCCCCTCCACCTGAGGTCAAGTCTTCAAAGAAGGACCGACCCAAGATCAATCGCGACGGCGGCTCGTCATGGGGTGGGTGGTCTGCGACACCTAAGAAAGACGAGCGCAAGTCTTCATCCAAGTCCAAGTCGGAAGAGAAACGCTCCAGGTCAGAGCGCAAGGAGCGAGAGGAGAAGACTTCATCCAAGGGTTCTTCGTCAGATAAGGCCGAGCGGCCGCGAGCAGAGAGGGCTTCATCCAACCTCATGACCCCACGCATGACCAGCGTGTTCAACAGTACACCTCCGGTTTCGCGATCATTGTCGACACGCGAAAAGCGTCATAGCAAGTCAAGCTCCTCGCGCCGCCAGTCGATGGAAATGTCGGGTGGTCTCATGTCTCCACCCGCCGAGGACATACCCGAGATGTCGTCCAAAGCCGCGAAGATCCTCGGATATGGTATGGACAAGAGCAACCGCAAGAGCAAGTCGCGTCGTCCCGCTGAAGATGACGACATCGTCATGGTCGACGCGGCCGATGCTACCTCGAGCCCCGATAAGTCGTCCCGTCGGAAGGCGCGGATGAAGACAGAGGATGATATTGTCATGGTCGACCCTGATGTCCCCGTGGATGTCACACCCCTCAAACGCTCCAACTCCAGTGCCAAGAAGGGCTTCTCTGGCCTCTTTGGAGGCCTGATGTCCAATACCCCAAAGTCCGAACTGCGTCCTGAGCCCCGACGACGCAATACCTACCACACGACGGACGACGAAGGCAGGCCCGACAAGAGAGCTCGACGCTCTGCACGTGAGAGCGAAGCAGAGACACCCACCGCCGACCCTGAAGCCGAAGCTCGTCGCGCGGCACGGCGTGCGAAGAGGGTAGAGGAGAAGGCAGCTGAAGAATCACGTCTTGCCAAGGATGAGGCCCGACGCGAGAGGCGCAAACGCCAGGAAGAAGAAGACGAAGCCCGCCGTCGAGAAGAGCACGAGGCCAGACGGGCTGAACGTCGCGCACAAAAGAAGGCTGAAGCGGAGCGTCTCGCCTCTGAAGCCGATGCGGCCAAGGAAGCTGAGCGAGCTGAACGTCGTCGCCTGCGTAAGCTTGAAAAAGATGCTTCTGCCGCTGCTGCGGGTGGTGAAGAGACCGAGGCAGAACCGCGACGGTCTGCGAGAGAAGACCGGCGCAGGTCGCGCTACGGCGACACTGAAGAGGAGGAAGCTCGCAGGAAGCGCCATGAAGCAAGGCGTGCTGCTCGAGACCAGGCAGAGGTCAAAGCTAGTCGTCGACGATCCGCTCCTCCCGATGACTATGTCTATTCGTCGAGGTCAAAGCACGATGATGATCGGAGACAGAAGCGACCTGCTTGGCCTCACTCCGGCACCTCTTCATGGGTGAAGGAGCATTCTGACGCAGGTCCGCCTCCTGAAGATGGGCAAGCTACAGACGCACCGCCCCAAACCGATGATGACGAGGCACGACGGGCAGCTCGCAGAGCTCGACGTCGATCCAAGTATGAGGATGGTGGCGGCGATCTTGACGACGAGCAAAGACGCCGTCGTGCGCGACGCGAGGAGCGTGAGCGCCTCCGCGGAGGCTCGGACGGTAGTGGTGAAAAGGCTCAACGCGAGTCTGTCTTCATGGACACTACGCCCAGAAGCAGCTGGTGGAAAAAGCTCACTGGCGGTGGATAGATTGATGCTGTTTTATGTATGTTGGATATGTGTTGCAGTATCTGGGTGCAATCTCCAACTTTTATGTCATGTACGTGCTTGGGTAGCGGTTGGGCTGGTAGAACGTGGGATGGTGTTTATCGGTTGATCTTCACTGTCTTGGACAACACTCCTCAAGTCCAAAGAATTGTTTGGAGCGGATGGGCTGCATCTTCAATACCCTCTTGGGATATGTCAGCATTGGGTGGTGCAAATTTCCTTGATCGTCCTCATGTCAGCGGCACGGGTTTGTCTGTGAGGTGTATGAGAGAAAGAGGCCATGTATCTTGACATGGCGGGTATCATTGTCACGGTGTTACAGAGCTCTGTGTGGGTGCAGGTTACATCCATACCAGCACCTTGGGGCCCATGCCGATCGAATGCTGTTCTGTTTTGATGAGCATTATATACCCCAACCTTCTGTCAAGCGAGCGAGCGATCAACTTAGATACCTATTACTGTTGTCTTATTGTAGCGGAAATGGAAAGTTCTTTACCAACCTTTGAGGTGTATGCAGCAAGTCTTGCAGTCTCTGCTGTGTTCCACGTCTACGTCCTTAGCCCACAGTCACGCATTGGCAAAGGGAGACAGGGCACCCATGGGGGTTGCTGGCTGTCCTGCAGAAGCGCAAGCCATATTTGATTACACGCAATGTTTCGGGTAGACATGGGGGTCCCTACATCTCGGTAGTGTGTGTCCGGCCCGGGACCGACAAACGGACGTAGGTTGCAGGAGTGCTAGCTCTCCTCGACTGACATCTCAGATATCTTCCACCCATATGTACTCACTCACATTCATCCCGCTTCTCAGCGCGGCAAGGAAAATCTTGTCTAGGCACTCGCAACCAGGCAACAATCACTGCGGCCAAACAAATGACATTGTAGCGCACTGTGACATCAACAAACAATGGACAACAGCGGTCGTGGACGAGTGGTTCAAGTCGCTCCCCTCCCATCAATTACAAATGGCCTCCAGGGAGAAATCACGGGTTCGAACCCCGTCGGCCGCAATGCTTTTTGTCGTTCATCTGCCTTTTTTGTTTGCAGTCTCGCTCCTGGGCGCATAAGCTGGACCCAGCTGGGTCCCTTTTCTCTCGTATGGCTATGATCGACGTCTACTCGTACGTCACATCAATGATACTGGTCACTTGGGATTTGCGTCGTCATTCCTGCCCAAGAGAACCTAACGTACGGGGGAGAAAAGGAAAACGCATTTCGTCTACACCAGCCTCTCGAGCCATCACTTGGCATCGGCTTGTCATGCGAGCTCTCATTGGCTGCCCTTTGTCCCGGTCGTAAATACCAGTGCGTCTGATGTGGGAGGCGGTGCCTTGATTTCGTGGCGGGTCCGGACGTTGGCGGTGGGTCCACGAACAGCCTCACGATTCGCTCTCCCCGGGAGGGCGGTGTCGTTCGCCTTCGGGTTCAAATATCATTTCCCAACACGTCGATCGCTTCTTGCGCTGTTTAATTCCTTCAAGCCAACCCTTCATAGTTTCTCAAAGTTCAATGCTCGTCTATATGGCCTTTGAGGCCCCCGAATAAGACGCGGTAACTAAGTGAGTTTCCGTATGGGCCTGTTTGTGACGTCAATGCCTCCTGCGCCTATAAATCGTGGTTCCACTATTCAGGATCTAACGAATTGACTCTAGGCTTTCGCGGCGCATACGAAACATATGCCAGCGCCGCTCGCTGAGCACAGTCTGGTAGTAGGCGGCGTGCTTGTCAACATAAGCCCCTAAGCTCTAAAGGCCGAGCTAGCTTTGTCCCACAAGCGCCATTGAGCACCGCCGTCAATGTGCAAGCTTGTCGGAGTTGAGAAAGAGAGGCTTCTTTGCTTCGAGCAACACAATGGAATTATGGCCACAATATGAAAAAAAATATCGGCCGCCATCTTTCACCACCAGAGCTCATAAACATCACGAAAATATCCGCCAGTGGAGGCGATTGTTTCAGCCTCTGGAAGTTGGTATACGTGCCCGAGAGGATGTGTTATACGGAACTCCTAACTAAAATCTGCGAGTCTTGCGGGCACCCGAGGAAATTCGAGACCAAGAAGGAGCACAAGTGCTTCATGGTGCTGCGAGGCAACAGAACCTTCGGCCGCTGCGGGAAACGCGACGGCCCTTACAAGACCCAGGTGACCAAGGGGCTGTGTCCCGATTGCAAGTCGTCCGACGACATCGAGTATGGGCTGCCGAGCCCCAGTAGTGCTATAAGAGAGTTCCTGAATTCGTAACTTAGTTATACATGGACCACTTTTCCAACTTTTCAGCCCTGTGAGATGGTCCAACGAAATTCTTCTGATGAGTACAAATATACAAAAATGCAGATATGGTAGAGTTGGATGTTGGTGCGGCGTCATAGTGCCGAAAGGAGGGTTGTGGACCGGCTTGTTGGTATCCAATCATGTTTCACGTGACGGTTGGCAATGCAAGGTGGGTGTGCCACATCGATGCATATTGACTCATAAGTACACCGCGAGCATGGTGGAACATGCCCTTCAGTCTGCATTTCTCTGCCTCTGTTATAGCTCGTCTTGTAACCACGTAACTCAATCCGCACTGGAACTCCAGCTTCTATAAATGGGCGACCGGACTGCGAGACGGCACCGCCGCCTCCTTTCTTGGAACGAGATAAGTAACTAACACACAAATACCTCGCTTCGGCTGAATCTGACTTCACGTCTCAGGGCCATGGCAGAGGTGTGCTCCTAACGACGACCTGTGTTTATCTGTCAGGTGCTGATGGTATAGGGATAATGAGTATATTCAAACAGGGTATCGGTGAGGGATACTTTGCCACAAACCTGTGCCTGCAATACGGCTGACAGTCTAGATAGAAAGGCCTCTTTCTCTTATCTCAAGTCAATTGGGACGATATTTCAAACCCATAATGAGACAGGTGTGTTGGGAAAGTCTAGTGAAGTCGCCAAATGAGCTAATGCCGTTAGCAAATATCTGGTCACACCTCCTCGGCGCAGGCTATTTCATTGTGTTGTTCTTGCAGTTTTTCAGATCAGAGATCAAGATGCAGAATGTGAGGCTATTGGACGTCGCTGCTGTCGGGACCTACTACATCTGTGTGTCAGTGTGTTTCGTCCTGTCAACAATATTCCACACTTTCTCAGATCACAGCCCTGGCATGCACAAATTCGGCAATGAGCTAGATCATCTCGGCATCGTTCTGGTCATGTGGGGCACGGGTATTTCTGGTACTCATTTCGCGTTTTACTGCCACGACACATTGCGCAATGTATATTTCGCCTTGTTGACCGTGACTGCTCTTGGTTGTGGTGTTTTCACACTTCAACCAAAGTTCAGGAAACCTACGTACAGAACAGCGAGGTTTCTCATGTATGTTTTCCTGGGTTCGAGCCTGTTTGCACCATGCATTCACGGCCTGTTGCGTTTCGGTGGAGCGATAGAAGAGATGATGGGTTTGAAGTCTTTCCTCGGATTAGCTGCCATCAACTTCACAGGAGCTGCTGTGTACGCAGCCAGGATCCCTGAGCGATGGTATCCCGCGACCTTTGATCTCTTGGGCCAAAGCCACAACTGGATGCATGTGCTGGTCTTCACTGGCGCTGTAGTTCGGCTACAGGGTCTACTGGCTGTGACAGAATCATGGCAGTCACAAACACAGGAGCACGGGTTTTGTTAAAGTTGAATGGAAGACTCCTATTATCATGAATTATGGGCTACTACGAATGTCAATGCACGTACTACTATATTTCTGGCAAGACTGTGAGCGTAAAATACACGCCGCGCAACTCTACTTGAATATTCCAAACGCATCTCCATTCCCTGACCTTGAGAAGAATAAGCGTAGATTAGGTAGAGCAGGTAGCAGAGCCGGGGTCGGTGCTGTTGCTGCCAGTGACGCTGAAGTCGACGGTGTAGTGATCATCCCCACGCCACTGCCCATCATTGGTAGCATAGCTTTGGTCCCAGGAGGCGGAGTACTACATTTGGTAAGCAAAAGGTTGCTAGTTTCGCACCCAAGGTGCCGAATAGACTTACCAAGGAGCAAATCTGAACGCCGGAGCCACCATTCTGGATCAGCATATACGTATTATAGAATTGACACGTCTGGTAGTTGCCGCCAGAGTCAGGGTGAGCTCTGTTGTACTCGCTCTGAGCCGAGCAGGCCTCGGCGCAGAGGGCCGGGTCAAAGGGGCCGCTGCTAAACGTCTTCACGCCCATGTAGGTGCTGCATCCCGAGGGCTCGTTGATTGCCACCTGGCCAAGAGTGGTAGAGGTGTAGCCGTCAGGAGCATCAAACGACTCAGTATTGTAGCCATTAGAGCCGGCGATGACGACGTGGAAGTCCCTGCGCCACTGGCCGTTGTTGTCGGCGTTGGTGTCGTAGACGGGGCCGCCCCAGAAGACACACTTGATCACGGTGGTGCTAGGGGGATCTGGGCAGCTAACGCCCGGGTCCTGAAGACACGATCAGTATTGTATATCTCAGGTAGAATAGCTAAGCCATGGTCTTACGAGTGATGGATCTCTTTCAAAGAAAATGTTGAAAGCATTGCAACCATGGATGGCCTCGCACTTTGAGGCACATTCATCGGCACTGTAGCTGTCCAGAGAAGTGTAGCCCATGTAAGCGTAGGCTGAGTTAGAGCCTTGCAGGTTCTTAAAAGAGCGCTTGAAGCCAGACGGTGCTTGGGCATTCTCCGCCGTCGAGAAGAAGGAAGAATCGGCTAAGAAGGCCTCCGCCGTGTCAGGCTGAGGTGTCGGGCCTGACCCCAGAGGCTGTGGCGAGCACTCATCCCGCTCGATGACAGCAGCTCTGCCTCGCCTCTTGGGGCCTGGAGCGAGTGCTGTCGTGACTGACTGGCTGAGAGGTGAAGCAGTGACTTCGGCGCCTGCGCTGAAAACAGCAGCGTTGCTGTCATATGGCACCGTGGTGCTTCCAGCACCAATCGGAACCACAACCTTCGAAGGGGTCGGCACTGCGTCAATCGAAGCCCAATCGAAACTCTGAGATTTGGCGAGGGCTGCAAGGCCCAGGGTGAGTGTGAAGGCCTTCATGGTATTGCATTCACTGAGGAAATGATAGTTAGAAGTATTAGCTATTACAGTTCCACAGCCTTGCGTTGACGACAGAGGGACGAGTATTAAGGAAACTAATCTCAGGAGGAATTTGTTTTATATACACCCGACCGAAGCCTTTCAAAGGTTCTTGCAGAATACTATCTAAGTCATCAAGGCAACTGAGGAACAATACAGACGCCTCACCTGAAGCTGAGTCTTCGCAATGGCTCCCTTACCTGTTCTGCAAAGTCAAAAGAGAACGTCAACGTACCAATCAGCACGAATCATATACGACATCTCAGAAGTAGTCTAGATCCTTGCACTTAGCTCATGCGCTGTAGGTGCAACCATCAGGCAGGGCTCAACAGGACAAATTCTTGATAAATGTGCTGTCAATACATACGCATGTAGTGTGGCAGGTAGCTGTTCGTGGCATCTGTGGCTTCGAACTAGTTCAAGGCTAAGAGCTCAAGCAGGGGTAGTTCAGGCAGGCTATAACGTTAATTGCTAACTTGTGGGTTCAATACGAGGAAACTGAACAACCGTCCGCAGACCTGCTTCAATTGGAATCAGAAGCCACACTTATTACTTCCGCAAGTACTTAGAGAGTAGGATCGGTCAAAAGGTCCGAGCTCGTGCTCTCCGAGGCCCGTCTCAGCGGCAACGTGCCTGTATTATCGTTGTGATGGTCCTCGTCTGCCAATCATAGACCCGATTCGTTCGGTTCGGTTCGACACAGGCGGAGCTATAGTATTGCTACACACTTATCGAGTTTTTGCAGGCTCATAAGCCACCGGGGCCCATTTTGATCCAGAAGCCTGTCGGAGACGGCAGATCGCTCTCGACTAGAGTTGCAAGACCGCACCTCGGTGTATTTTACGAGACCTAACTTCCACCATGTGCTTGGGCATGTGGGCTTGGTTGAAATGCCTCAATATCTGGAAAGGCGGCAAGACGCCCACTTCAGCCAGCGAACTCCATCAGTATTTCCGGCCTTCAGAAGGGGTGGCTGATTGTCGACGTTCTCACTAGTGTTCAGCCGGCACGAGCCGGATCTGCAATACCTTCTTTTTCGGGCCTTTGGTGGGGCTCCCATTGGCCAGGCTCTCCCAAAGGAGAGCAGCCCTGGTCGTCAGCTGCAAGGTCCCAAGACAGACGCCTCAGCTTGGCTCTAGACGCGCAGGAATGAGTATTACGAGTCACCTCTTTCTTTTGCGTGGGTGATACGTCGATGGGACCCGGCCGCACGATCCTGCTTTTTCGCCTACTATTCCCACCTGCATTATGCGCTCTATGACCCACGTTTTAATATCTCGGGACGGCCTAATTGGCTGGTAAACGTTCAGTCGTCTTTTGCGTAGTTAGTTTCTCCGAGTGACGTAACATAGGTAGAGGCAGCGTTCTGGACGTCTATTCGAAGGGCCAGTCAACTTTTAATTGAGTCAGTTGGGCCTTTCGAGGCTCAGAATTGAGCAACGTAGCTTGTGACAATACAGCCCCAATATTGTCAGCCGAACACCGTCATGTGAACATCAAACTGATAATTCCTTCAGCTAAGAGCCACGCCCGTTTTACACTTCAGCTGGGCGCAGAGGGATCTATTAGATAGGTCTCTCGGAATACATCTGCGACGTGGAGTAGAAGAAACTCGGCGCCACTATGGTCATCCAATATTCTCGCATCCCAGAGGCGTATTCTTTTCAAGAACCTGTAGTGTTCAACGAAGTCACCTGAACCCTCGTTCAAACATTTCTCAGACCGTGGTGCGTTACAGATAGTGTGCATAACTGGAACAAGGGGTGCCGTACACACTCTCACGATCACATCAAGTAATCCAGATACTCTATGCCTTTGTGGGTGACATCGATATACTACATGGGTGTCAGATGCTGCTTAGCGTCTCGCCTTCCAATAAAACTGCGATACGGGGGTGGTGATATATGGACCAATTGTGGCAGCCAATCTTTCAGAAGAGGCGCACCTGTACACATGGGAATTGACTTGTCCACGCCATATTTGATTGTGCTCAGTAGCACATGTACTGGTTCTACGCTGTTGGTTGCCGACTGAATCAATGTAGGCACACATATGTCATGAGGATATGCTTAGGGTGTCTTTCGTCTATTCTCCGTTGTCAATTGCTAAGCAAGTATCTAGTGTTGAGTTTGCGAACATAAACCAAATTTTGTTGCCACCCTGCCCAACCTTCCCGCAATGACCGTCTATGCTGAAGACCACGATGCAGCGGCGCATCCGTCCTCTCTAACCAATCTCTGCAGCACCGCGAGCAGACCCCAAGTGACATGAACGTCACTACGGCGTGCCCACGTCTGCTTGTACCCGAGCGTGGTGCGTGGCTCGGTGTACATGTCGGGTGTAGAGCGGCATTGCTTCATAGAGGAGTTGTGAGGTCCTGAATAACGATCTGATACCAGCGACGCATGAGCTCCGAAGAGCCGGCGCGGCTTGGATGGGAAGGGCCCGTGGCGGGAAGCCACTCTCGAAATGAGGGAGAACCTTGAGCCTTTCACATAAAGTCGTCGTCACCGAAGTCGTCGTCGTACGTGGCGGTATCCTGGGTGTTGGCTCGGGAGGTAACCAGGGTCGTCTTGGTCTTCTGTGCCTTGGTCTTCTTTCCACCCTTCTCAGCGGCCTTCTCCTCCTTCAACTTCTCGTTGCTGAGAGCCGTGAGGGTGCTTGCAATCTTCTTGATCTGGTCGCTGGGGAGATCCTTGGCCAACTGCTTGGAAAACTCCTGAAGGAACAGTGTGTAGTGAGCCTTCTTGGAGTTGTTGCCGATGATGGGAACCAGGACGCTGCGCATGTTTTCAAACTGCAACTTGGTCTGGGGGTTGAGCAGAGGCAGCGAGCCCAAGTCGACGGTCTTGGTGGGGTCCTTGGGGTCGATGGGAATGGCGGACCCGGCTGTGGTGGTCTTTCGAGTGGTGACACCAATGCCGCTGAAGAGATCGGCAGCGTGGTTCAAGTCGGACTCGATCTCGGTGCGCTTCAGTCGCTCACGGCGCTCAGCCTCGGTCTCATCCTCGCTATCGCTGCCCTCGGCGAGCTGTCTGGCGCGCTCGGCCTGGTGCTCGAGGATGCGCTGCTTCTTGGACTTTTTGGCGGCGGCGGCTTCAGCATCAGCCTTGGCCTTGGCTTCGGCAGCCTTCTTGGCCTTCTCGCGCTCTACTTCGGAGTCTTCGGCGGCGTCCCACGAGTCGAGGACCTGGGTTGCTCGGTCAGCATTCTCGGGGGGTCGGACAACGGCGTGGCGGCAGGCTCTGAACTCACATCGCTATCCTCGCCTTCCTCATCGTCGAACTTGTTGCCGCGGCGAACGACACCGGCGGGAGGGGAGGAGGGAGGAGTGGTGCTGGCGTCCGACTCCTCTTCGTCTAGATGGGAAAAAGCGGTCAGCCAGGTTCAGGGCTAGTCGGAGACGGGTAGGCGGCGGGATGCACCCCCAGGGTCTTCAGGCAGGTCGCGTCGATTGGCAACGGGGCCTTCCAATGAAAGAGACAAAACGAGGCCGGCAGACTCCACCGAGCCCTATGCGACACGCTCTGTGCACCGGCTTCTAGAGGGGTTGCCAACGCGCCGCGCTGAGAACCCCCGAAGGGCGATGACGGAGATTGTGTGTATGTGGCCTCTCGGGCCTAGAGATGCGCGCCTTCGCGACGGGGAGAGGGAAACTTACCCCACTGCTTCTGGGCAGGCATCTTGATCGTCTGGATGGTTTCTGGGCGGGTTACGACAGCGGCGGGAGGCTTGCGCGACGCAAAATGCGGTGTCTTCTGTCGACTCGGTCGTGAGGATGATGCTGGCAGTTGAGGAAAAGAGTTCGAAGGGATGGAGGCCGTGAGGATTTTTGGGGGGTTGTGCCTAATTTCCAGCTGGTGCGACAGATGCCCAAGTGGCAGCGCAAAAAACGGCTGGGCTGCAAGAGACGGAGGGGGGTGGTGGAGGGGAGGGGAGGGGGGGCGCCGCGCTTTGGGCGATGAGGGGCAGTGTCACGGTATCGGTATCTGGTTTTGCCAGGGCACTCTCACCCAAATTTCGACCCGACTCGGACTCTTGCACTGCCAGATATCCCATCCCACCTGCGGCAAGCAACCCCAGTAACCCCCTACAGGACTAGATGACGTAGTCGCATCCATCACACGCACGTGTGCCATGGCCTTGGTCGAGGATCTGTGTGAGTCACCACCATCTGGCTGCATTCGGATCCCATGTCTGGGCAAGAAGCATCCAAGGTTTATGTATTGTTTTCGCAAAATGGTATAGTTATCAATGGACAACGTCAAAACCCACAGCACAAGCACAACCTGGGAAACGCGTCCAGGCTCCGCTCCCGCCTCTGTGGAACGTTTTAGTCACATTGGGACGGCCCCAGGTACCGCAAACCTTGACCCAATCCAGAGACTATCAAAGCTTGCAATGTTCATTCCCTCGCCTCACACCTCGGTCGACCCGTTAGCAACTGTAGACACATACTTCTGACAACATGCTTTCACCTAAATGTGATAAAGATGGATACACATCACGACGACACACCCCAGAAATCCATGCAAACTGGAATCCCCTCAACTCACTCCACTTGTTCGGTGTTCGCGTCTAACACAGGTCATGTTTGTTGCGATCTCGCGTGTGAAGGGACCAAGGTCAGAGCTGGAGCAGTCATCGGCTGTCTGCATATAAGTAATTTTGCATCCCAGTGTCGAGTTGTATCCTTGTGCTGGATTAGAAACCTTGAATCAAGGGGATTGCAGATGCGTGACAGCACTATGCTCTACACAAATGCGTTGCCCATTACCACGCCGGTAGGTCCGGAAAGCCACGGGTAGCGAGACAAGGCTTGGGGCCGTTGCTGCATCGACGTCTCATAGTGCTACTCATGCAAGATTGCATCCAACCCCGTCCTGAGTATCGCATAGGACAGATGGAGCCATCAGAATGAGTCACCTGGAAACTTGCTCAATGAATCGCGACCTTGCCATCCACTTACTCGCTACTCCGAGAGGGCTGCAAGAGAACTACCACTAGGCGAACTGTGAACACGACGGGGCACTCGTCGCACGGCATCCTTCATACCTCAGGAAATAGATGGCTACACGAGGTCAAATTTTGCTGATAATCCTTTGTTGTACAGGCTGACCGAAGCTCACTGCAGAATTTCGCTGACTCAGCTCACCTAGGACCGGCCGTCAACGGTGATTCGCCGTCCACAGCGCCCAAGCTGGCGAGAATAAGTCGGGATCCCCTTTGTCTCCCAGCCCCTGCAAATCCCGACATTTCCTGACCAGCTGACCCCCTGACAGAGTTGGAGCCCTATAGAAACGTTAGTGTCCTTAGAGTTCAGCCTCATTCCTCCCGATAAACCGGGTCTCTGTTTGCCCAAAAATGGACGGTCTGTGACTGGATGCAAGCCGTCAGCACTATGCGCCGTGAAGTTAGTAGCACGGGAGCCACCTTCATGGCTCCGCCTTTCGCCTCTATGCTCGTAAAGCGAAAGCCAGTCAGATTTCATGCCGGTTTCTTACGCTGTCTCCTGTATTTCCCTTTGTTTGTCAATGCCATTCTCCGCGGGCATGTCGTACCTAATATATAAAACTCTGCCGCCTGAGGCATGTATACCCATTCCTTTGCATTCACCAGACCATATGACAACCACCTTATTTGTCTCTGAAGACAACCACACATCAAGCCACCTCAAACGATCATCTCCTAACCACTCGACATATATAACCACCCCATATGTTGTCAACTAAAGCCCAGACAAAGCTTTGCTCCCCTAAACAAGCAGTCCAGCTCTCCAGGACCCTGACACCACTGCTCCAGGGATCGTCAATCGGATACCACGCTGGCTTGCGGATCTCCTTTGCCTCAGTTTATCAGCATGGAGACTTAAGGCCCTTCTCTACCACTTCCAGCAGGAATCTCCGCGACATTTTCCCCGCCAAAGAAACGGAACACATCCGCCAAACACTCCCGGCTTGGCCTCATCATGGCTATACAGAACAGGAGATGCTGGATGTAGTCCCGGCCCATCGAGAAGTCAAGACCTGGGGGGACTGGACGGCATGGAAGATCATGAGGATCTGCCGCTGGGGTATGGACTTTGCCACTGGGATGGGGAAAGAGCAGAAGGTCGACAAGACGAGCCCTACAACTGCTGTCTCGACCATCAAGCCCCTGACAGAATCCCAATGGCTCGTCCGGTTCTTGTTTCTGGAGTCCATCGCCGGAGTCCCAGGAATGGTGGCCGGTATGCTTCGCCATCTCCACAGTCTGCGGAGACTGAAGCGTGACAACGGCTGGATCGAAACCCTGCTGGAAGAATCATACAACGAGCGTATGCATCTACTTACGTTCATGCGCATGGCAGAGCCAGGGTAAGTAATTGTAGTCTCCCTGTAACAGTTTCGATGCTGACCCTCCCACCCAGTTGGTTCATGAAGCTCATGATACTCGGTGCGCAAGGAGTCTACTTCAACTCCCTCTTCATCTCGTACTTGATCTCCCCAAAGATCACTCACCGATTCGTGGGCTACCTCGAGGAGGAGGCCGTTCACACCTATACAATGGCCATCAAGCAGATCGAGGAGGGCCACCTACCAAAGTGGACCGACCCGAAGTTCCAGATCCCCGAGATCGCCGTCAAGTACTGGCACATGCCAGAGGGCAAGAGGACGATGAAGGATCTCATCCTTTATGTGCGTGCCGACGAAGCTTGCCACAGAGGTGCGTATTTTCCCACGGCATAGGCCAGACCTTACAGTCTTCCGCTATATGTTTCGGACCCTGCTAACACATGGCGTGCAGGAGTCAACCACACACTGGGCAATCTCAACCAGAAGGAAGACCCAAACCCGTTCGTGAGCGAATACAAGAGCGACCGACCGCCACCCCGGCCGGCCGCGAGACCTGAGGGCTACGAACGGGCCGAGGTCATCTAAGAGAGACCCTTGTATCAACAACATTTAGAATTTCGAGGGGCATTACTGGGCGTTACATGCATCATGCTTTTAAAAACACGGGTAGAATAGAAGGGCGATACCCAATATCGGCGGTCGCCTGCTGGAGTTCAAGGCGGCCAAAAGACGAGAGCAATCTCAGCACTGAGACAAGGAGATGATGAAGGTGCCAATTCCTTTTGTATTAAAACCTCTTGTACACAATACCTCAAAGCTGTAGAGTATGCGATCCTTGAGATGGATCCTCGCACAGCTTTCTCTGAAATACCCAGCTCATGAATCTGAAACGATTTCTCGTACACAACTCGCTATGGAATTCGTATCCCCATCCCTGCGGGCATCTAAGCTGAATAACATCACTGAGCCGACTGGATGCATAGTCGATTATTACATCGTAAACTGGAACTGGATGTACTTAATCGGATTAGTGCCACTATACCCCGTCTACTCCGTAACTGACGAGCGTGGCCTTGATGGACTATACTGCCCTACAATTCATGATTTGTCGTCTCACTGACTAGTGTAGCTTTGAAGTGTCCGTTTATCCGAAATAGCTCGATCCTCCTAGCATGTGGCGAGCGAGAAAGAGAAAGGAGGGGGGGGGGGGGGGGGGGGGGGGGGGGGGGGG